GCCGCCGCCAGGGCCTCTTGTGCCTGCGAGGACGACGCCGGCCCGGTCGCCGGAGAAGCGTCGGGCGCGCGCCGGCCCCCGGCCCGGCCCCGGCCGCTTGTCCAGCCCCAGGCCAGAGTTGTGTCAGCTGCCGTCGAGAAGGCGCCAGGTGGGCCGCTTGCTCCCCCGGGGTTTGGCCGGGGCCGGGGGCATGCTAGGCTCGGGGCTCAGCGGGGCCTCGGGGCCTGCGCCGCCCTCCCGCGCGTGTGGAGCGCTGCTCGTGCCGGGGCGCGCAAGAAGAACGATGCGTGTCCTGAGGCGTCTGCACGGCCGCCCCGTTCAAACAGCGTCGCGGCCAGGCACCATCGTGAATGCGGGATGAAACGGGCATGCGGTGGTCGCCACAGCCTTCTGGAACAGCGGCCGAGGACACGTGTCCTCCCGTCACCTCAGGAAGCTCAGCCTCTCAGGCCGGGCAGCCGGCGCCCTCGGAGCAGAAGGTACGGGCCAGCACAGGGTTAGCTGGTTTGGAAGGGTGGCAGGGCCCGGCCTGAGAGACGGTGGGATGGGCGCCCTGGCCACAGCTCGGCGCTTCATCCCGCCCAGGCTTGGAAGCTGAGCAGGGTCGGGCCTGGTGAGAATCTGGGCGGGAGGCCTGAATCTTGCGCTGAGGGGGGCGGGGGGCTGGACTGGATGGCCTCCTAGGCCTCTTTCAGCTGTGTGGGTCACCAGCACAGTGGCTCGCTGTGATTCCACCTTGAAGTGTCTTGGAAGCACATTTCTCAAAGGAGCATCGTCTCCCACATAGAGCACCCCAGATCCTTAGGTACCCGTTAGTGGCCGTCCTCCAGGTGCCCCTTGCCAATGAATTGAGGCATGTGGCTATGAGAGTGAGGGTCTTCTTGGTGGCGGCTTTCAGCTTAAGGAATGCTGTTACCGTAATTAAATGTGTGCGTGTCCCCTCTTAGGCCTAGACATTTTAGCACCAAAGATGCTCCCAAGCACTTCAGATTCTAAACTTGCTTGTGCAGCACTTAAATGCTGACTTTATAGTTTTGTATTTTCCGTGTTGAAATTTTTGCTATGCTTTCATGTAACTCACTGAGATGGCTTTGGGTTAGGGTTAGGGTGTAAGAAATGGGCTGGTAAACTGCAGCAGATTAGGAAAGTGCAGCTTTCATTCATCTGTACTGGTGGCCTCGATATTTTCTTTGGCTGCAGCAATCTGGTTTACACATCAAAACCAGCTGCAATTTTTAAAAAAAGCTCATTGCCATGACAGGGTTAGCACACTGGAGCACACTGCTCAGGTGTCCCTGCTGGCAAGCTCTGGTCCTGCCATTGCACTGAAACTCAGAGCTCTGACAAGCCATAGAAATAACTCTAGAAATTTCTGGGCAAAGACAAATCAGAAAGTAACTCCAGCCACTTCCATTTGTAGTAGGTACAACCAATTCATGACGTGCAAACTAGACTTCTTCCCTTTAAGACAGGGAGAGCAACCTATGACACTCTGTATGTTTTTCCTAACACCAGCATCCCTCACTACTGGCTAGGCCTTGCAGGGAGATGTGGCCTCCGGATGTCTGGCCCTGCATCCTGGCCACTCCTGCTTTCCCCCCAAGAGGAAGTGGCCACATGCCATGGATGGGAATTTCTAAAGCCAAGCAACTATTTGAAAAATAAAAAACCAGTGCTCCCCAGCGGGGAGAGAAAGGAAGCTGGGCATGGCCCTTGCTAAAAAGGTCCACATATGCTTAAGGTGCTGAAGCAAGGGGCAGAGCAGAACTTCCATCAGCAGCAACCTTGCTAGGGTCCAAGATAAAATGCATGTGCCTTCCACAGCATCCACAGTCCAGTTCTCCCCATCTCTGCAGGAACGGCATCAGGGTATCCCTGCTATATTCATCTGCAGATGAATTGGATGGCTGGTGGCCGAAGCGCTTCAGACGAATTCCACCGTAGCCCCATCCTTCTCTTCCTCAGGTGCATGCCCACCCCACTCTTTACAGTGCATCCACCTGATCTCAAGTTTAGGAGCTCTTGCTTTCTGGAGCAAAGTACACAGCCATCTGAGGAATTTAAGTCCCCCTCCAATATTCTGTGCCAACAAGAGCATACAAAAAGGAGGGGCAGGTTTTCCTACCAAGAACTGCTGCTGCAGTAGATTTTGCCTGTTTACTTGAAGAACAGGAGTTTGACAGGGCCAGAGATTTGAGCAAATCTGGTAGGATGGCATAGCAACACAAAGCCTGTAGTTTCCTCTTTAACACCAAAAGAGTTTAATATATTCAGATGTCTACTGAGTTTATTAGGATACTGAAAATACTGGGCTTTTAAGGGCCAAACTGATTGTGAATCAGGCCTGCTGCTGGTCGGGTGGGGAATCATTTCAAGGCCTCCAAATGGGTAAGGAATGCTCCTAAAGTCTAGGTGCAAAGTGGTGGGCTAAAAGAATGCAAAACTTCATAGCAAATGTCATCCAAGGCGTGGCTGCTGCTGGGCACAGGGAAGGGGGGTGATTCATAGGAGTGCTTCCTCGATGGCGGGGAAGGCATTTTGATTCTCATTCCCGACCCAAAGGCACGGGCTACAGGAAGGAATCCCAGCGGCTGCTGCAACATAGCTGGTGTCCACAGGCATGCTCAGAGTGTGGGAAACACCACTCTTTTCTGTTCCGTTTTCTCCAGAGCACGGCAATGGGTCAGCATCACCCTTTCTTCCTTTACACTTTCTAGCCAGGAAGACCAAAACTAAAAGACAGGAATTCTCCGCTGTGCTTTGCTTTTTAAAGTTTTATTACATATTTGTCATTGCGCTGGAAGAGTCAGGAAGCGTTCCTAGTCCGATACCAAAGTCCAAAGAGTGCGCATTAACCCCTGCCCACATTCAGCTATCTATTGTGGGTCTCGGCAAAAGCAGGAAACTAGTTTCTCTTCAGTAGGAAAATATATATGTGTATATGAACCTAAATGAAAAAAATATACAGTTAGAAGAGTTACTAGTTGGGGACATTGCTCCTTTGGGGAGGAGCCTCATCAGCTCTGCAGGATCTGTCCGAAAGGCCAAGAGGTGTAACGTAGTAAAGGCAGAGTCAGTCCAGGGACGGGAGCTCGCTTGGCCTTGTTAGGAGATGGCTTTTGCCTCCGGTAGGAATGCTTCCCAGTATTTCACAAGCTGTGTGGAGAACAAGAAACAGGAAGCATCAGCAAGGGTAACCCGGGTCCTTGTGCAACAGTCACCGCACCAACCCCCACCTGAGGATTTGGCCAGGGCCACAACCGACGGCACCCGGGGAAGCCGCCAGCCCCGAGCATCAGCTTGCCAGCAGCTCCGACATCCTTCTCCAGCCAGGAACGAGCTGCGGCACTCTGTTGCGTGGGATATGATGGAGCCCACCTCTGCTGTGCAAAGCAGGGTTGCCCTGTGCTGGGAACTGTGTGCATCACGACAGGGAGCTCTGGTTTTCTTAAGCTCTGGACTGGCACAAGAAATACACGGGCATCTTGCTGGGACACGCTGCTCTGCAAGGCCTCTTGGATAAAAATGGCTGCCTGCTGAAGGTGTACGCTTTTTGTCTCTCTCACTCACCTGCTGTTGTGAATGTAGAAGGGTTTCCAGGTATTTGGTCAAATGGGTCCTGAAATCTTTTGTTTTCTCTTTCTGCAGCAGTGAACGTTTAAAAAAAAGGAAAAGAAAAAGACTTAAATTGTGTATTTTTCACAAGAGGCTACTACAACCTTCTAGGAAACACCAGAATGCAGGAGTCCAGCTTGGCATTTCTTTGCATTTGTTCCACGTGTGATTAGAAAACAAGGAATTGCCTGCTGAATGCACGCCACAGAGCCAGGCCGCTCTCAAGATGCCGCTCTACGAAGAGCCCTGGCAAGAGAACCTGACCGAGCTTTTGTGCCGCGGGGTGGGCCACACCTTCAGCTTGCAGACCAAGATACCAAAGCTAGTTAAGGCCTCTGTGGCCCTGTTTCACAACTAGGAAGCTAGCAGCCAAAGCTTTAAGAAGAGCGGATGCGAGATCTTCATGTAGTCCTCACACCCTTTTTTCCTGTGGGGTTTGCTTTCCCCCTTGGGTGTTTGCACAACTCTGCTTCTCTATTTGCAGACACAAAATGCAAACAACTGCTGTTCAGCTTCAGTACACAGTGTATTAAATGAGCAAATACGAATGGCATCCCAGCAAAGCTCACTCAATACCCCGCCCAATAGTCCCACCTGGCCCTTCCCAGCAGCATTCCAGGGGTTCCAAGCTGTTGGAAAGGGACCCCGCACCTGGGCCCCTCTAGGCAGCCTACACAATGCTCAACCCGTGTCCAACCAAGGAGACTCTCCTGCATAATGCTCACGTGCCACTCTACCTCGAAGCGCAGCACCTCTTTGCGGAGGACGGCAGATACCCGTTCAAAGTCCCGCTCGTACTGTGTCACACGGGATTCCCACTGCAGAAGGAAGCAACCTGTTAAAAGCACGGCATTCCTTTGTCACAGGAGGGGGCAGGATCTGCTCTCTACAAATCTTTCAAACATGACGCCACCAGGAAAGACAGACCAACCAACCAACCAGAAGCCAGGAATAGTTCTGGATAAAACTGGCGAGTTATCCCACAACTTCAGGGGCTTTCCTCCGATGAGTGTGGCACCGCTGCTTGCTCACAGGTGATGATTTGGCTCACAAGTCCTTTGCTGACTTTGTAAAACCAGCCGTCCTCCCCAGAAGGGCACACACCTCGCCACTCACCCTGCATTATCAATTTCACGGTTACGCCCCCAATACGAGTTTGTTGCACAACACTGGACATTTTAGAAACCCCTCATCATCGAAAGGGGCTTCAGCAGCTCTTCACCCTGGAGGGAGGGGGCGCCTCGCCCTGACTGCCCTCTTATTTCCCCACCCTCCATCGTACTGATGGGAAGGACACAAAGCTGCGTTGCCCAACTTGGGAGTTGCTCCAGCGTGCTCTGCAAACCTTTGCTTGGCCAGACGTTATGTGGGCAACCAGGACTCGTGGCCTGCCATCAGCCTGGCACAGGAGGAGGCTGCTGAGCCTGCCTGTTCCCCAAGGACAACCACGTGCAGCTTTTGGCCTGGCAGGGAAAAGCACTGCATGGTCACCCCACTTCCTAGAGGGAAAGGAGAGTTCAGCTTCTGTTTTTTTCAGTGGTACTTTCAGCTGTTTACCTTTCAAAGCATAAAGGAAGCATGTCTTTGGGAACCAGTGTTAATTTTTTGGAAGCTCTGTTTGCAATTCAGTGATGAGGGACACACTGCATTTTTCATCACTTTGAAATATTGTGTATTTTCCAGTTGTGCCACTGGCTTCTAAGCGAACAGGCCGCCAAGTTATGCAAACATCTTTTTTCGATAAAAGCATCTTATGTATGCAGGAGAGCTAACAGGAGTGCTGTGGACTCAGGCCTAGTCTTGAGTGAGCAAGTTGGAAAGGTGGCTGCTGGGATAAGCCAGTCCAGCAACACCCGCGGGGGCAGGCGGGGGGCAGGGAGGACATGCTGGGGCTGGGCATCCCTCTCACCTCCGAGATCTCGTCTTTGGCTTGCTGGAGCTTGTCGGGTTTGTTGGCCCACAGCAGCCTGGCCTCCGTTTCGCGTTTCTTCTGCAGCATGATCTGCGCATCCTGCCAGCGCTGCCAGGTCTTCATTCGCTGGTCGAAGGCACCCTGTTGGTGAAGAGGGGCACATGAACTGGAAATGAAGGATTTGGTCAGCAGGTTAACCCAGTCTGAACCGGAGGGCCGAGGGACGTCCCCGGAGCAGGGACAGGCTTGGGGTGGTGCAGAGACCGGCTGCTGGCAGGTAGCATGAGAGACCCAGAGGCTGCATCCACCGAGGCGAGGCGTCCAAGGTGGCACCCTACTGGGGTAGCCAAGCCAGAACTTCTGACTGCGGGCAGGACCAGAATTGCCCTGGAACTGGACAGAAAGGGGCAGGCGGAGCTCCCGCTCTGCACGGGGAAGGTCCCACGTTGAGTCCCCAGCACCTCCAGGTGGGGCTTCTTGCCTTACAGCCCAGAGAGGCACTGGCAGCACGTGAGGACAATACGGAACCAGGAAGACACACAGCAGCTTCCCAACATCACAGGCCTTGGTCTAACAGCAGTGGAGAGCCGTGGGCCTCAAGAGGCTCTTGGGCTGTCGCTCCTGTCAGCCTTCGCCAGCATCACCAGCGGGCGAAGAGAAGTGGCCGTTCAGCGAGATCGGGAAGGACGTCCCGCACCCCCAGCCAGCAGGTTGCCTTGTCAAGAGCCGCTGCCCCGCCAGAACAGCCCTGCCCGTCTACCGAGGGCCACACGGGGTGGGATGAGGCCGCACACTGCTGCACGTGTCTTGGGACAGCGCGGCCCACAGCCTTCCAGAAGCAGCCCCCGGGAGCCGCCTTGCGCCTCGAGGCGCATGACAGGATTCCTGGGGCTCAGCGCTTCCCTCCCTCCAGTAGCGCTTCGTTGGTCCGAAGCCTGCCCTGGGCAGGACATAGCAGCTCTTACCCTTACGACAGAAAGCAGGCGAATGTAGTCACTGAGGAGCTCGGCCAGGAGAAAGAAGTCGTAGTTGGCCTGTTCCTGGTGCAGCTGCTCGATCTTCTCCTCCACCTCCGCCAGCTGAGAGAGTGCCCGAGACAGGGCGGTGTTGTCCTCCGAGCTCCCCAGCATGGCCAGACTCTTGGCGAACTGGGCCGTATTCAGCGATAGTTCTAGGGAGGCAGAGGGGCGTTCAGCACACCAGCCAGACTGCTGCCAGCTGGGAAGGGGCAGCCTGGCCTTCCCCACCCCCACCTATGCTGGGCTGCAACTTCTGTGCAGCTGCCTGGGAGATGATGGGAGCTGCAGCCCAACTCCTCTGGAAGGCACCAGGTCGGGGAAGGCTGGTGCAATGCACACAGCCAAGAGCCAGTATGGGACACCTAAGGGAAGCCTCCAGAGACAGCTGTGATGGACAGCCTACACATTTTCTACATACATACATACATACATACATACATACATACATACATACGGAAGTAAGTAAGTAAGTAAGTAAGTAAGTAAGTAAGTAAGTAAGTGAGAGTCCTGGAGTGGGTGGGTTGGGAATACTAGAATCCACCATGCAGTATCTGTCGAGTAACTCGAACGCAAAGCAAACCACAGTTTTTCAGCTGCAGAAGGCAAATTCAGCTCTTCAACTGTTACCTTTCCTGTGATTTACTAGCATTTCCACAACAGCGTGTAGCTTCCGCAGGCGTTGCTCTTCATACTCCACCTCCTGAAGCTTCTCTTCAAACCACTGGAGGGGAGAGATGCAAACACAACCAAGACAAGCTTTCACTTGAAGGGGAGTCGGTTCCATATAGGTTCATCTTCAGGAACACTGTCTAAGGATAATTTATTTGTGGTGAGGGGGAGGCTAGGTGCTCCTCAGCCAAAAAGGCTCTCAGAGCAGATGGCACATCCTCAATTAAATAAGACAGGCCCTGCCGGCAGGCTTGCGATATAAAAAGAGAAAGCGCTCAGAGAAAATAGAATGGCAAGGGGGGACTCAGTTCTTCCAGCAGTGGGGCGGAACAGCCCTGCGCTTCCTTTCACCTCGCTCAGCTTGCAGACACAAAAGTTACAAAGATGTTAGGTACTTACTATGTCGGACTCATTCATCTTGATGGTCATTTTGCTGACTGCATCAGTGGCTTTGTTGAACATCTTAAGGAGACCGGCTCCACTGAGCGTTTGCGTCCCAACAGCTCGCGGCAGCTATAAGGAAGTTGAGAGTCTGATCCCGTGCAGTGCAACCGAACTGTGCTGCTTGACAATTTATAAAAGAGGCCATGCAAAACCAGAATGAATGGAGAAGCAGTGCTGGAGAAATTTCCAAACAGAGGGTGGGCGATTAACCCTGCGGTCCACGCAGCCCTCAAAATGGAATGCAGCCTGTGGGGAACCAGAAGAGGAGGCCCCTTTGGGACAGCGTGCAAACTGGTCCCCAGCTGTGGGGTAGATGATGTCGCCCACTTGCCTCCAGGCCGTTGCAATTAGCCAGCTGGCATGAGTCGCCACATCGGGACGTGAAGGGGTTACAGTGGAGCAGCAACTTGGGTTTATTGTGATGGACTCTGGCCAAGCTTGGGCCACAATATTGTTCTCTGCTCCTCTCGGGGTGGCTGGAGCCCAAGAGCTGAGGAAGCAGTTATCTGGCGGTTAGTAGTAGCACCGTGGCCTGGGCACAAGGCAGAGCTGGACATCAGTAGGTCGTCTGACTGAACCACCCACCATGGACAGGATTCTGCACCCAGGATTCTCCCGGAGCCACCTACCCAATCACATGGAGGTACTCTGCAAGCAGAGCGCCAGGCTGCCTGGTGAGCCAAGAGGCCATGGAGAAGCCAGTAAAATCCCTGGCGCCTGCTTAGACAGAATGGCTGCTTGCACTGCCAGAAACAAATCGCTGGTGCTCATGGGTCCCTAGTCAGGAAGACGTCTGCACTATGCAGAGGGGAACTGACACTGGACATCATTTGGCAGCGTTTTTTCCCAGTGCAAAGATGTGATACGCGAATCCCTCTATACCTGCACCTTGGCTGGGAGGAGTCATCGCACAATGAAGCATGTCACAGACCCCGTTACCAAAAGCAGAAGTGAGCCTTTCTGCCTCAGAACGAAACCGTTGGGAATAAAGGGCAGTTCCAACTCTGCCTCCAGGTTGAGAAGTGGGAAAAATACCCGTGGCCCGGCGCTGCATATGTCGGAACAGTCGGGCGTGTCAGACGACAGGGCTCGCAACAAGAGCTCCTGCAGAGAACTCCCGAGCAGAGGAGCAGCCGTGCCTTCTGCCTGTTTGGACAGCAAGAGGCACAGCTCCTCGGGGGACTGTGCGCTTTTCCAAGGGAAGGAAAGACCTCGCGCGTATATACAAGGCCCAGGGCCTGAGCGTGAGGCTGTGGTCACCTCGGCTTGGTTTCTGGACCTGACAGGGAAGCTGCATTGCCCCAAGGTACCTGCAAGTCCACACACAAGGCCCGGCTAACTTCTTACACCCTCTGCTTCCACTACGGCCTCTTGTGGCAAGCTGCTGTTGCTGCTCAGCCCTTGACCGTGCACACTCAGCAATTCTCTACAAACACTTCTGCCTTCTCCGCCACCTCAGTCTGAAGGGACACGGAATATGCAGTTCAGCTGCATGAACAGCCCCGACCTCCGTGCGGCTTGCCGCACAATAAGCAGGGCCAAAGCTAAGAACAGTTCCCAAGACGTGAGCGACCGTTCCGCAGGATGCATTTGACCTCCAGTGCAATTCTGGAAGACTAGTGGTACTCCAATAACAACAGCCAGAAGCATCGCAAGTAAGAGTCCTCCACGCTCCCTTCACCTGAATCCTTCTGCGTCAGCATTTTGCCACATGGCTGGCTTCGTTTCGACAGAAGCTGCAAGAGGAGCTTTGAGCTTTCCCATCTGCAGTTCATAAATGCAGTTTTTGAAAGTACAGGACCATTAAGATCAAGCACATCTAGAAACACATGGATGAATTCCTCAGTTTTTACCAAATGAACCATGAAAGGGATGCTCGGGCCACAAGAGCAGAACCACCTGGCTGAAAAGACTCTGCGCTCTGGGACGGCGGCAAACCAACCTCATCTTTTTCCAAGAACTCCCTGACATCTGGGTCCTGCAACATGGTTGGGTGGTTTACTGTTCTTCGAAGATACCTGTGGAAGAGGAATGTGTGAGGTAGCCTCCCTCTTAGTATTCCTGATGCTGAGAAGGGAACCAAGTGCAAGTTCCCAACAACTTGGACCATAAGGAGGAACAGGCTCAGGCCTCCCTGGGCTGCTTTGGGGAATGACCCACCAGAAAATTCCAGGTCCAAGAGGAGGAGTTTTCTAATAGCACTAGGAAGGAGTACAGGGCAGCCGCCACAGAACGGCTTGTGGGTGGCGTGCCTCCAGCTCCTTGGGGGGGACGCCCCCAGCTCATGCCGCTGTCACTTGAGCACAACCATAATGGGTCAAACAAAGGCAGCCCCTGTGGTATCTCTGCATCACGGGGACTGGGTGCCTGCGAACGCCGAGTAGGAAGAATGGGGAAGCTGCCTCTCTCTTCCTCACTTCCTCCTTCGGTGAAGGATATTTCACTTCCCTGAAGCTGCTTTCAGTTTTAGTGACTCTTTCCAGTCGTTCTGTTTTTAGACAATAATTCATTCCAGAACTTGCATGCCAGGACAAGCTTTTTTTTGGTGAGGCTTCCGGGAGGAGCCCCCATTGTCCTTGGGCAAAGGAACAGACCCCACATCCCGAAGAGCTTGGGAAAAAGTGGCCTTGCCCAATTGAGTCCAGGCAGCTTCAAAGCGAATGAGATCCTTGATTTCATTAGGCTAACATCCTCAGAAGTAAAGAACAAGACTCTGTCTGAAATATTCCCAGATTTTTCCATTTCATATTTTCTCATCTTAAAAAGGCTGATATAGTACATGTGTATAGTGTGTGTGTGTGTGTGTGTGTGTGTGTGTGTGTGAGAGAGAGAGAGAGAGAGAGAGAGAGAGAGAGAGAGAGAGAGAGAGAGAGAGAGACACTTCTAATTTCTGATACCAACCATCCCTGATCAAGGCCGACTTCTGCCAGCTAGAACAGAATAGATGTTTTTACGCACAGTCTGCCATTTGCCACAGCCTTTTAAAGCTGCAGCAACAGCAGGCAGCGAGTGCAATATGACTAATTACCTTTCTAAGGCAGCTCGCCGTTTTTCTAGAAATTCTGTAGAGGAGGAATCTTCTTTCCCAACTTTTACTTTGGTCATTCCTGGAAGAGAAGTGAAAACAACCATGGGGGGGGTGTATCTACGCTGCAAGTACAACTGCCCCCCCGTGTGGCTTCAGCAGGACAGAACACTCTTGATGTGGCACCTGTGGGAAGGCTGGCTCAGGAGCGGGGCACGTCTCACCCAAGGACTGCCCCGGTTTCCATCCCCAGTATCTCCAGCTACAGCAAGAGAAGGCTCCTGCCAGGAGACAGTTCCCCCCAGACCAGGGAGCAGAACCGCAACTGGCTGGCCAGGTGTCCCATACAGTGGAATCCAGTCCAGAGGCGGGAAAGGACCCAACACTCTTAAGCCAGGCCGACGAGCGTGCGACTCGCTCTGAAGCTGCTGCATTGTATGGGCTCTGCCAGGAGAATGGTGGGGAGCTTCTTAAGGTTCAACAGGAAGTGTAACAAACTTTCCCAGTGACCAAACACAGCACAGATTCTCGAAGCCATGCCTAGGCCTTAGGGCCTCCAGCATATTAGGGGAAGCAGAGAGATAATTTCCCTGAAGTTGCATCCCCCAGTCATTCTGCAGAGAAGCACTGCTTTTGCTGTGGAAACAAGTCTGCTTGCTTTGCCCAAGCAGCTTCAGCCCCTCCCACCCTGTCATTCAGGAAGGAGGGGAGTGGAACCTGTGCATACTGACAGACTGAAGTAGTGGGTGGGGGGGGGAATGTTAGGGACTCCAGAGCAAGAGGTGGTGATTTTGTTTTGTTTTGTTTTCAGCCCAGTGGGGAGAAATGTCATGCCAACTCTTGAGGCTCACTGAACGTGCCTGGGCCTATTCAGGGAACCAGTAAAGCCACAGGAAGAAAGGGTAAGCTTCCTTTTGCATCCATCTTTCATTGCTGCATTCAGTGAAATGTGTCTCATCTTTCACAAGGTAATTTTGCTACTGTGTGAACATCCTTGAATCTCCTTGGTTGGCACAGGGTTAAAAGAGCAGCCTCCTCTGGGAAGGAGCTGTTCTCCACAGTGCGAGTGCCAAGCGCAGCCAACCCTGACAACGTTGTCCCGGAAAGCGAGGAGGGCGCTGTGTCAGCAGTGCTGCTCTCCAGAAGCCCACAGCATGCAGTTCTGAGCCCAGCTGAGAAGTCTCACTTTTAGACCTGTCTCCTTGCTGGACAGAGGCTGTGGCTGTCCATTCTGTATCTAAAAAGTGTCTTCCTTTAGGGAATGCATTTGCTTCCCATTTGGGAGGAGCAGAGAACATAGAAGCAGCGGCGTGCAAGAGGCTAGCACGGGTGGGGATTCACAGCAAGCATCACATCCAGAGTGCCTGGAGGGGTCAAGGCGGCGCATGGAGGCGTCTGTGCTGGCAGAATCGCTGGTCAACCCTACCTATTAAGCTCTTCTCAGGAGGTGGGGGGACAATGAATCCGTTTTGTGCATGCTTCTCTGACAGCTTCTCGTACAGGCCCAAGAAGTCACTGAACCTCCTCTTCACTGAGAACTGCCTATTTTTGAACATTGGCAATGTGGTCTGAGGAGGAGAACACAGTCAGAAAGCATCAGGTTCACATGAGCACCGAGTTATACCTTGCAAACACACTCGGTAGCAGATGCATTGCCTTTCTGCAAGCACTGAAGCCAAAACAGAAATATTTTTCCCCCGGCAGAAGCCGACCTCATATTAAACAATACTGTAATAAACATACAAGACAATACAGTAATACAATATTGCATTAAGCATATAAAACCTAAATGTTACTGCTTTAAGAACACACTACATATACTACCCTGGGAATAAGGCCCTTTGGATACAGAGGACCTTAGATCTGAATAATACACCTAGAATTGCATCCTAAAAAGATGAAAGATGCTACCTGTCATCAAGTTAGCAACTAGCAATATAGTACTATTCATGAAATATACTGATTAGTTTTTTTTTTAATTTGACCAAATTGAGATGAAATTGCTATACTCTAGATTCCAGAGTTCAGAAGGTACCAGAGTACTTTTATATACCGAGTGTTATTTTGCCTCTCTCTAAGCAAAGGGCTTCTATGCACCATCGAACGTCTCTTGGGCCAGCCCCACACAATAGTGGTTTGCCATGCAGGATGAGGAAGGATTGTCATCCAGGAAACAGCCCAAGATTCTTGCTCCAGTTGTACAACTCCTTGGATGTTGGGCAGCATGTTTTTGCCAACTGGCAAACAGGGCAACACAAGTTAGAAATGAAGAGTATTTTTATGCTCTCGCTCAAGTGGACAACATATGGAGGGATGCAAAGCCCCATGAGCTTGAACTAGCACAGCCAATGGTGAAGGATGAGTGGAGATGGTGCCTGAACATCTGGAGGGCCACAAGCTGCCCACCCCAAGTTAAAACTAAAAGAGCAGGTTACATACCATTCCTGAGCCAACACTTCTAATATTATGGAGAAACTCTGGTTTGGAGAGGAAACAATGCACAGCCCTTTAAGTGCAGTTTACTGAACATGGCAAAACAATGTTTTTATTCCATTTATTTTTTGCAGAGATGTGGAAGCCTGTATGAGGCTTCTGGGGGGAAAGAGAGAACTTTCTTCTGTTTTTGCAGACTTCCACTTCTCTGCAGATGTGAAACTCTGCCCTTGCAGCCCCTTGTGACTCCACGGTGTTCTCAGGAGTGCGCTCTCCGAGACAGGAAGCAGCCTGGCTCCTGTGCTGGCTAAATTCCCTGCTACGGAGGTCGGCATCAATGGGCACAGGAATGAAACAGACTGGCAGAGTGTGTTGTCCCAAGGAGCTGCCGCACTGATCAGTTCTGCCCAAGACCAGACTCAATGTGGCACTGCTAAGAGACGCGTGAGTGTGTGTGTATACACGTGTGTAAACTGAAGTCTGCAGTGCAAGAGAATACAGAGGGAAGGGCTAAGGAGAAGCTTCTGCCATTGAAGTGGAAAGCAGACTTCAAGGAGGATGCTTCCTGGCATTAGCTAGAGCTGCTGTCATGATAATACTGAAAAAAGGCCAAGCCAGACCTACCTGGGTTGACACCTTGTAGGCTACATAGGCATTCATTCCATCTCCTGTGTGGGAAAGGAAAAAAGGTGAGCTTTCTGCAGTGCACGGGGTGCTGTGGCTGCGGCAAACACCCCCTCCTGGTGGCCACTTGGTGCCAGTGACGCGGTTCATGGCGCCTAGGCTGGCTGTGCCATGTCCTCCACTGACTGCTGGACGGTTGCATCGCAGGCGATACATGATGCTCGTGATATGCTGCATCTCACACATGTGAAAAGGGGTTCTGAACGGATACGTCCTACGAGGACCTTTGTGCAATTATGGTTACCTGCGACATTTGCATATCTCACGCATGTGTTGCTCCTCCAGATATGCACACTGTAATCAACTGGAACCCATTTCAAGACATGCAGCCCTGAGGCGTGGAGGAGCGTCTCTGACCGGAAAGCTTAGCAGAGACGAGCACTGACATCCTCCTTCCTAACGAGCTCTGAGTAGCTCCTATGGGATTCCTGCAGTTTTACTGTCTGCAAGCCTGAGGGCCAGAATCTTGCTTAAGAAAAAGGACATGCCCAAATGCCGTGAAGACGACGCTTAGGTCTAAATTCTACATTAGTGTCATCCTAGTTTTTGGCTGGCATCTCTAATTTGCCAGTGCATTTGACCAAATTTGAAAGTACTGAAAATGGTTTCTGGATGTAAGCATTCAGTAGGTGGAAAAGACATCCATAATAAAGCAATGAACTTATTTAAAAGTGAGGTATCTGAACAGCAGCACTGCCAAGAAGATTCTAAGCTCTTCCGTGATTCACAGGCTGAGCAAGCAGTCAACAATATTACAAAGGCATGTCGAATTTTGGGCTGCATCACAGGAATGCTGTATCTAAATCAACATTTGGAATTTAATAAACTTCTACTGGAACCTTAAATGTGCATTAAGCTTATTTGCATAAGAATCTAGAAAACAATCAAGATACCTGCACAACAAAGATCGAAGAAAATATTATTGTTTCAGAATGTAAATGAAAAGTTACCATGAGTGAAGCAGCAGAGTCTGAGTGCCACGGGAGAACAACTGAAAGATAACACTTCCCTGCTAATGTAGTTGTATAATAGCGAAGCCAAACAAGCAAATTAGCCATGCAATCTAAGATTACAGGTTTATAATAAGTATGGCCAACAACAGATGTTCTTTGGGTAGATCACAAGAACTAAAATATTAAACTGTGAAAAGTGAAAGAATAAAAAAACCAGAACAAACAGCACAGGAATAAACATATATCTAAAACGACCAAAACACTCATGCCTGGAAGAAAAGCAGCATAACAATGTTGGCACTAAAGGGATAACTATCTGGGCAACAGGCAAGCCTGTTTGGAAAGGACACCCCATAAAAGGGGTGTCACAGTTAAGAAGGCTACCCACCTAACTTCCTTGGAAGGGTGTACCTGGATGAGAGCCCCCCAGAGAGGATCTGTGGGACCAAGTGGGCTCCTCAGCAGATCAGCTTTTAGTGCTCCTGTCCACCCCGGCCACCTGCGCCACGGGCTCTGATGCTCCTCCGGATACTCTGGTCCCAAGCCGTTTGGGCCATTCAATGATAGCAGCAACATTTTGATTAGGCTCAGAAATGGACTTGGAAGCCAGTCTAATGGGTGCATTGATGTGTTAGCCTGCATCGACCAGCTCCAGTTGGCAGCCTGGCAGATGTATTTTGATCTGATGCTTCCAAGCAGTCTTCAAAGGTGGACCCATGTACAACACATTGGAATAGTCCAGCCAAGAAGGTGCCAGGCTATTTTGGTCCAGATAGGAGTGCAGCTGGTACGGCCACCTGGGCTGTCCACCACGGCCACCTGTGCCTCTAGTGACAGTGATTCTGGAGCAACCCCAAGTTGGAACGGTGAACATTCAGGGGTGTACAGCTCTTTCCAGAACTGCTAGTCATTCCGTCCCAGGAAGAGAAGAAGTCTGGATTGTCGAGGTGGCCGCCTCTAGCCATCCGACCACAGAAGTTACAGGATGCTGACAGCTGAAGCTGACAGAAGAGTGGTTCCTCAGTGGTGCCAAGTCCCGTCTCTACTTCCTACAAAGATGAGCCTAACATAATAATTAGCAGCTTGTTATACTGCTCAGATCTGGGAGAGCTCTGTACATCTGCCCCAGGCTGAACAATTAAGTGGCTGTTATGGCACTGAAGGCAGCTGGGGAAGAGGCAGAGAGGGAGGGAGCTGCTGAGCTTGCCAAACGATCTCTTCATCGCACACGGCCTGTGTTTTGAAGCATAGAAAGCCTAAAGCCAACAACAGAATATTCCCCAGGTAGAACTCCTCTTGTACAACACTCTTTCCTATATTCAACAGCTACATTATTTGTGCAGCTTCATTGAAAAATGCATCCAAAACTCTGCTGATGCAAAAGAATGCTTTGCAGTGGCTATTGTTCCAAGGAAAACAGTTGGCATTTCAGACTCTGCAAAAAGAGCTGCATTTCAGCTGATATAGTAATATTCCCTCTTCAAGAAGTCGACTACTGCTGAAGGCACGTTATGGCAGCCCGCTAGCCTGTCCAAGTTGCATAAAGCTGGACAGATCCAGCAAGACAGGACACAGTGACTTGGTATCACTGAATGAGAGCTTCCTGCAATGCCAGCACTCTGTTGCACCACATTCCCACGGAACTGAAAGATGCAGGAAGAAAGGTCAGCCGTGCAAGTTGCATTGTTCAAGCTTCCCAAATCTGGCATGGTTCCCATTGTGGGATCCAGCATGTAAACACGGAGTATGGTGCAACTGAAGGCAGTGGGCAAGCACTGATTTAGCAAGTGCCGTCTGTTTACCAAGTGTTACTGCTCAGTGGCGCGCACACAACAGAAGGCCACTCGCTGGCTGCCCCTGCCAGGTGGGAGGGCGCACGGCCGCTGCTCTGCATCCCTTCTCCCCCACGTTGGACTTCCAGTCATGTGCAAGCACTCGCCGTCATTTGGCAGATGTTAGGAAGGAGCAGCTGATGGTGTGGCAAGAAGGGCATTGCGGCAAGTCCTCAGCTGCTGAACAGCCATCTGTATTCATGCAACGGCCACGAGGAAAATGCAAGGAGATGCAACGATCTGAGCTTCCCATGAGATCATTGTGAAAACTGGGGACTGGGTACACAAGCAGCTGAAGGGAACGTCTCATACTCATGCAATTTTTCCTAGTCCTGAAAAAACGTTCAGAAATAGGAAGCTTTACAGAAGCTTGCATTGGCCAGGGCGACTTATGTTATACAGTTATGTGTATTTTATATTGTTATTTATGTATTTTAATTTATTTATTTGTAAGTCGCCCTGAGGCTTGGGCGAATGGGGCGGCCTAGAAATTTTCTAAATAAAAATAAATAAAATAATTACCCTTTTGCCCAGAAAAAAAGAGAAGTGTTTAAAACTGATCCACTGTAGCCAGCAAGTCCGCATGCAATCCCATCTTCCCCCTGCAATGCCTGTCTATGCGCATCTCAGCACTGTGAGCAAAAGCAGCAAAGGCAAACGTACTAGGCTCTCCTCAGCCTGGCAGCCAAGATGGACAGCCATACAACTTTCTCTTCCTATTATGCTAAATCGCCTCCATCTCATAATGACTCACCAATTTTCTCGGGATCACTCACTTCCACTGAGAGTTCAAACAGGTCTTCCTGTTCTTCTTCTTCTTCTTCAAACTAAATAAGTAAGATAAATATACTCAGTCATCCATGAGATCTCATACCAGACACTGCACATCACGCTCACCTTTGCTCTTGAATTGTACATTGCAAGCTTACTGAAGTGTGGACAGGGGGCAGAAAGAAGAGCAGGTAAAGAGAACTGTTGATTCATTTTCAGCATGTAAAAAGATTCAGTTTTGCAAAGTTCAGAGAGTTTCCACTTACTCTCCTCAGTTACAGCACTAACAGTGAAACTTGAACAAACAGTACAAGCCTGATGAATGCCCATCTTACTCAGTTTCAATGAAGAAGGTTGATTGCTGTGGTAATAAGCTTCTTTTTGATGGCACTGGGGTTCTAAAATACTCTCTTGCATGCAACATTCTGTTTTCTTAACTTATAGTTTTCTAGTTTCTTAACTTCTAGTTTTCTTGACTTCTAGTTTGGTTAAGTTCTCATTAACCAAAAAGGAGAGAATAGGTTCCTCATATGCTTTCGATCAACTTTTTACAAATCTAGCATCAATAGTGAGTGCTGGAGGTGGCAGCGGGCCAGAGCAGTGAACAAACCTTGCATCTGAATAGCAAGCTACACCCAGCAGTCATAACTAGCCACCTTTCCCGCAGGACATAATTGAAGAGATATCTAGCCAAACTGACAGGCACGTACCTCCTCATAGGTTTTGGACTGATGCTTAGAAGAGGAATTTGCTGTTTTTTCTATAGAAGGGACAGGACTGAACACAGTTGGTGCCTCTTTCTTCTGGCTGTTTTGTGTGCCATCCAGGGACAATTCTACAGTGGCATCTGCAGAAAGACACAATTTATTCTCAACAGCAAATAAACAGGCTCCCTGCCTTCTTGAGTTTTCTAGCCCCCAAGAATGGTAACAGGAAGAGCTTTTAGAAATTATCTTCTTGACTACACCATATGTATAAGTACCTCAAAAGCTGCCACAAAGAGGAAGGTCAAGATCTCTGGTATCAGTGAGAAGAGTGTAGGACATGGAATAATCAATTCAAATTGTGACAACCAGATCCAGGCTGGCTATCAGGAAAAGCTTCCTCACTGTCAGAGCGATACAGCAGTGGAACCAGCTGCCTGGAGAGGTCGTGGGCTCTCCAACACTAGAGACATTGAAAAAGAAACTGGACAGCCATCTGAGTGGGATGGAGTGATTTGATGTCCTGCAACAGCAGGGGGTGGACTGGATGGCCCGTTCCAACTTGCTTTAGCCTCATTTAAAAGAACTCCCTATCCCTTTTTAAATCTGTACCAGCTGATAATCAGATCAGATTCAAGAATTCAAGCATGCAACTACTGCACCTTTCCCTTATACCAGGCTACAATACCCTTTCCTACACTTACATGAAACGTTTTAGGGTGAAATATTAACTAGGCCATGTATCATATTAATCTCTATTATGTTCTGAGCAGCCACCTCAAAGTTGCCATTCAGTTCATGCACAGACAGAACTTCGCTCTCTTTTAAGTTGGCAACCAGCTTGGGAGTTAATAAGACCTGGTTGCTAATAAAATGAGCAACTTCTGCAAATGAATGTCTGTGCCTGAAAACAAATCGCATGTAGTATATGGCTGGGTTTCCTGCTTGGGAGTGTTCAAGCATGTTACTGAGCTAATTTATTAAAAGACTCTAGAAGGCCTTGCTTTCACTTCTTGAAATCAACCTGAACACACAAAATCTACACACCTCATTGAAAGCACTATTAGAACTGTAAAAAGATTATCCAAATCCAACTATCACTATATTATTTCTCTTTGCAACATGTAAAAGAGTCTTGCTAGAATTAGGAAAATAATTTGTTCCAATGGAATTTCAGCCATATTAAACAAAATGAAATCCTTGAATGCGGTTTCAGTTCCCTAACAATCTTCTTAAGCTCAGATAAATGCTAAGTTGAAATACTTGCTATTATACTTGATATATGTAAAGGGCTTGCAAATGTTCAGAGACTTCAACATGTATTTCTATGTGGGAGTCCTTAACAAAAGTCAGCCTTACTACCCACTGAAATACCGATGGTCTGACTGAACCTGGATAGCTTGCCTAAGGCCAACTAGTGAGTCTGTGGCAGAGCTGAGATTGGTAACTCAGCCTTCCAGCTGCTGCTCCAGAGCAGCTCAGAAGCTTGTCTCCAGAGGTTTTCTGCAGAAGAAATGACTGCGGAGGGGCCTGTGAACAAGATTCCGAGAAAGCGTCTATGGTGGAGAGACACACGCACTACACGCAGGCCTTCTCCTCTTTATGCCATCACTGAATCTGTAGCTGCGCATGCTTTCTTTGGCCCTCAGACACCATCCATGAGATGCCATACCTGCAAATATGTCCTGATCATCCTGCTCCTCTTGAATTCCGTTGGTTTTGGTGCTGCTTCGTACCAGTACAGGGGATTCCTTCTTCGGAGACACCGGCTTATTCTAGAGGTACAAAGTACATTGTACAAGCTGAACAGCGAAATCCATTACTGAAGATGCAGACACACCTAACAAAACAGTTTCCCTGCCCATGCACTCTCTCCCCTAGAAAAAGTGTCTTTCCATTTCAACCAACTGAATGTTTTTCTTCTTCTCAACAGCCGTGTGGAATGGTAGTCAACCCATCTCTTTTCAGAGCAATTAACAATGCAGTCTTTGGTACATTTCAACACACGCCATCCTGCCATTGTAGCGTTCAACTTATAAAGGCCCGTTGTTTCCCCAAAAAGCTTCCCAGAGACACAATGCTTTCGTCGCTGGAGACGACACCACCACTGCCAACTCGGCCATGCACAACAGTCTCACACCACTCCACCCTCCGCGGCACAGACGGGGTCACAGACCCACGGGGCACCACGGCCGAGCGGCTGGGGCTGGAAGTCAGCCTCTTTGTCGCCAAAGCAAGGGGCTGCGGCAGAAAGCCTGGCTGAGAGCAGACAAAGCCTTCGGAGCCCCCGCAGTTCCGCAGAAGTTGGGCTGCTTCGAGGGAGTTCTTACGGAAGGTGAAGCCACTGCACGGTCAGTGAGAAGCTGCAGCTGCTGAACCCTTTTGTTCTGTTGAATCATGATAATTGTTCCGCGGCATCAGGCTGTTCTCAAAATACACTTTGGCGAGTCTGCATGTCCCCTTCCTGATTCTATACGTTTAATAGATTTGTGCTGCTACAAAAGCTGGGAATGTTATTTTTAAAGTAATGGATGACCTGATCTGGGTTAGATACATTATTACACATGGTTCAGTCTTTCAGCTACTTTCTGACTCTGCCTTGGCACAGTACTATTGCCACTCTAGTTTTTTCCACACTGTTCATAGTTATTGCTCTGTTCTGTTTTGTTACTTTAACAATGTGGATTATTGTGCTTGCAATTCTGTCTGTTTGATGGATCTTGTTAGCCACTTCCAGCATCACCACAAGGAGGAACAAAGCAGTTTAAATATGTTTAGGTGAAGGAACACATTAGAGAATATTTTCATTTCTAGCTTTGGTCATCATAGGTGAGGCTTTATAAGGCTTGAATGCTTTCTGCAGAAATTGTGCAATTTTCAACCCTTTGGTATGTCAACATGTAGTTCCTCCTCCATAAATGTCAGCTTCAGTTCCTCTTCTGTGAACAGTTGCAACTAATTGCTCAGTTTTGCAGTTGTAGCACAGATTTTATCTAAATGGGCATTTTTTCCTGTAAAGAGCAGAATCTAGCTGAATCTAAAACATAGATTTTGCCTTATTGCCTCCTCTGTAAAGAGGAGAATTTAAAACAGAGCCTAACCACAAACACAGGTGGGCTTTGCTCTCTGCTAAATAGTCTCCTCCAAATTTCCAGATAAGACAGGGTACAAAAAGCCATCTTGGAAAAGCATTTTATGCTCTGTTTACAGAAGAGGTCAGGTAGCTCCTTTCCTCCCCTCAGTATGCATGTCACTTTAAGACTGGTGCAACAGCCTTTTAAAAAAGGAACGACAGAGGAAGAATTCTGTTGGAAAGTGCATCAAACTCTGCTAGCCACATAAATTCTGTGTCTCCTATGATGTGTACACCCTAGGACGGGTTTGGGGCGTATAGGCACAGGTTTTTAATGCATGGTTAAGAGAGATTTTTGAAGACATTGGTGCAGAAGTATTAGTAACTATAACCATCATCAACACTGGTGAGTTTGCATCAGAGTTGAAGGAATCTGAAGTACTAACAGTGCAATCGTATGGCTGTTACCTGCTGTCTAGACAGCCAAAGAGTTTCAGCCCTGACCTTGGAAAAGACTCCTAGGTCAAAACTGGGACTCCGATTTGGGAGCGTCCTTGCAGCCATGGCTCCGAAATTCATGCTTTGGAGCTTGTGTACAGGTGTGTGTGTGTGTGTGTGTGTGTGTGTGTGTGCGCGCGGGCAGGGGACTTGTGGGAGACAGGCAAAGCACCACTATCCTGTAGGAACCCTGGCAGTGTCTTCAGCTCCTTTCGTTGTGAAAAACGCTCAGGACAGCCAAGCGCTGAACGCCACAATCATTCCCATGCTCCTCCAGGCTTCCATCGGATGCGCATGGTCCTTCAAGTTCGGAGGGTTACAGGCAGCCACACTGGATCACACTAAGCTGCACAACCAGCCTTCTTTCTTCTGAAAGCTCCCCAGCGCAAACAGAAATGGACTGGACTGCCTCATCAGCGAGACCAGACACCCACTGGGATTCTTTAAGATCAGCCGCACATGCATATCTCAGAGAGCAGGCAGGATGCAAAATAACATTTAATGCAAAGGGAAATTAAAATTCTGAAATTAGGCAATGAAAGAAGTCCTGGGAAAGAACACAAAGGAACATACATTCCTTTGTGTTCCTTTGCCCATCCTAAGAACTCTGGGATTTGGATGCCCTTCTGTGAAGTCCTGCACAAATGCAGAGGAGTGGCATGATGGTCTGTTGCTGGACTTTGAAACCTGGACCTGAATCCAAACACAAATCCAGGACTCTCTGTTCATACGCAATCCTGGTGTTCAGCTCACTCCGAAGGGGACGGAAAACACTCTGAATTCAAACTGCAGACACCATCTGGTTTCAAGCTTCTCCTCTGCCATGAAGTCCAAGGCATCCTTCCACCATAGCCTCACAGGCTGTTCGTATTCACAAAGCGTTAACTTCAGTTTTGGTCATACTTAAGAGTTGATTCAGTGAGTCCAACGGGGGCTGCCTAAGTCCCCCTCAATTTCAGTGGGGGTGTTCCTACTGATTTCTGCAAGGTCTACTCACCGGCTCAATCATGGCTAGCTTCAGTTCCCATTGTTATGCCTAATTTAAGTTCTCATTGACTTCGCCAAGTCTACTCTAATCATGACTCTGCTAGATAGTGAGCACTGCCTCACGGTCCCACGTATTTCAGAAGCGCTCCTGCAATCACGGCTAGCCAGTCGGGATTAACTTAAGCTCCCTCCTCCGAACTCATCAACAGGTCTCCTCTAATTATGCCTGGCCTAGTAAGCCGTGACTGACTCACCCCCGCCCCCCCGGTCAAGGGGTCTACTCGAAGTTTAAAGCCCATCTGAATCCAAGCCATTCTCTCCCAGCGGCTCAAAACAACCTCCCGGCAGGAGCCGGAGAAGAACGCGGCTGCCTCGCAGCCAGCCGGCTCCCTCCCGGAGTCTGCACCCCTTGGGCGGCGGAGGGGCAGAGGCGCGCCTGGCAAGCCGGCGGAGAAGGGGGCAGGAGGAGGAGGAGGAAGCGCAGGCACCCCGCGGCCGCTCCCAGCTCCTCGCACTCACGGCGCTGCCGGTGAAGATGTCCTCGCCGTCCGAGTCGCTGTCCCCGGGGAGGCGGGCGCCGCCGACAGCCTCCCCCGCGGGGAAGGGCGGAGGCAGCCGGTCCACGGGGGAGCCTCCCGACGCCATCTCCCGCCGAGGGCCACTGCGGCAGCGACTTCCGGCTCCCACGCACGGCCGGCCGGAAGCAGCAACAGGCGAGTTCTGGGGGGGGCGAGCGCGAGCCCACGGCGCCGAGGGGCGGGGCCGGCAGCGCCTGAAGAAAGGGAAGGGCGGCGGGGGGCGGTCGCCAGCCAATCGGCGGCGCGCGGGGCGTGGCCTCGCTCCTCTCAGCCCGGCGCTGGGGCGCTTCCTCCCGCAAGCCCCGCCCATGCGCGCTTTGACGGACCGGCGAAGTTTACTTCTGCGTGGACGCGGAGCAGCGTGTGGCGCCACAAGCACCTCGAAGGGCGACCGCGGGGAGAGTTCCAGGTGAGGCAGCCGTCCGTGCATCGGTGCAAAAAGCAACGCGGAAGGAAATGCGTCTCCGAAAGAGAGCCGCGATTTGCACATCCTGATTTACACGTGCAGGTGCACATTTGAAAGTCATGCTTCTCATTTTAATAGGAAGGCGGTGCAGCTCGCAGTAGTGTGGAAGATGGTGATCGGGTGACGCGAGTGCCTGCCCGTTCGATCCGTTGTCCGCTCTGTCTGCATCAGCCCAAGACTGGCTAGCAGCAGTTCAGTTGCCTTCAAGGGTCTTTGAAAACAACCCATACCAATACGCCAGGTTGCTCCCAAGGAATAATTCTTGGCTGACTGTGCACCCACCCCTCCAATATCAGGGTTGTTTTTGTTTTGAGATGTTGCATTCTGCCTGGAAGGCTTTTAAGAAATAAGGCCATATATGAATTGTAACAATTTGAATGGTTTCAGTTGCTTTTATTTAAGTGCTGTACACAAAGTTTTACAAAGCAAAGTTCTCCTGACATCACCTATTTCAAGTGTCCACTGTACAGGCTCGCCTACATCTGCTCATTCAGGCTGAGTAAGTCCATTCGGTGTGGGCTCTAGTGCCAGCACTAGATAATTACAATTAGAACAAAGTACTTAAAGTACTTAAAAACCCAAATAGCCCCAAGTAAACAAACAAAGAAACCAAACAGAACAGAACTTGTGTGGTTAAATTTAGCATCCCATTCTGAAGCTGCCACAGTGTTTGAGCTACTTTTCCGGCTCTCACGGTAAAAGTTTTCCGCCACCTCCAGGACGCCACACTGCAGGCGCAAAGTGGTTCCAAGTGCCGCAGTGATTTGTGGAAACGGAAAGGATCATCTGCAAAATAAAAGCAAGGTAGGAATGGAAAAGAAGCAGGTTCACATTAGTGAGCAACCCATCCAAAAGGAAATACAATGTAGACAAAGACTTCTAGAAACAGCACTATTTCTAAAAGCATATATGCGCATGCATACTTTTACGCGCACACACCTCCTGCCACGCTGTTTCAGTTTACAGCTCCTCAAAGAAGAGCAGATACCAAGATATACAATCTCTTATTAGAGTTACATCCCTCCCCCTCCCCCTCGAGCTCAAAGTGGCTTACATCATTCTCCTCCTGCGGCTCTCAGCCTTATCCCCACAACAACCACCCTGTGAGAAAGGATGAGCTGAGAGTCTGTGACTGGCCCCAAGTCACCCAGTTGGCGCCATGGCCAAGTGGGGACCAGAACCCAAATTGCCTGAGTCCCAGTCCCACACTCAACTACTGCACCACTGGGTATCTATTTGGATGTTATGCATATGAAACTTGCACAAAACGTGATCCAGGAGGGAAGGTCAGTAATGGAGAACTGAAAAGGGATAAGTGCCTGCTTGGAGACGCCCCATTCAGTCCTGTTCAACCCTGTAGCACGGACCTGCGGCGCTCATTTATCACATTCAGTTCTTCCGGGCATGTTTGCCTCTCTGGCTCATGTCCGCCCACTGATGCGTATGCTCTCTTGCTTATGCCCAGCACTTACTCCATCTTGGCATCTAAGTGGTTCACTGTATCTTTGTCCACATAGCGGCAGAAAAGAAAAAGGAGGTTGCTGGGAAGATGCAGTGGCTCTACCATGGAGGCCTTGGACACTTGAGACAGCTCCCTGGCAACCAGGAGTACTGTATCCACCCTGCAGGAAGAGATGAAGATGCAACAGTAAGCAGCCCAGTATCGACTGCCGTTGGACTGCTGTGGTTGCAGACGCCGCCTCACCATTTTTCAAAGTTTCCATTGTGAGTCTTCAGGGGCTCGCCAGAAGAAAGACATCTCTCACCATGGCTCAACAGGAGGTATAGGAGTGAGATGGCAAACTTGGGGATGGGGGGAGAGGAGAGAAAAAGAAGGAAGGAAACATGAAAAAGGGAGCAGCAGCACCAAGACTAAGTTCACTTAATACCAGTGTGGAAGAGCCCAAACTGTTCCAAAACTGCTGTGGCACAGCTCAGATCACAGAGGTTCCTTCCATCTTTGACCTGATTTGCAGTCTTAGCTGTGCTGCAAAATTCAGCCAGGAACAAACCTGGGAACTGAACTTGCCTCCAACATACCTTGTTCCCAAAGACCATAGCAAGGGATTGCTTGACTGACTCTGGTTGCAGCCTGGTTAGCTCCTGCAGGACGCCGATCAATTCGCTGAAGGTCAGCTGCTCAATGACATCGCTGAGGGGACCGTAGAGCAAGGGCAGTGTCTGCCATGGGAAAGATCAAGGTGAGGTGACAGACGTTCAACCGAGCCCACTTGCCCTCCAGCCAGGATTACTGCATCTCATTTATGGAACAGAACAAAGTTGATGGATCCTAGAATCCAGTCATGCTGTGTGTGTGTGTGCGTGCGTGTGTAGAAGACATTTTAAGTCTTTATTTGTATGCACTAAATGTTTACGACAATAGCGGGCAACTTGCGGAGGTTAAGGGCTTTTGCTGCCCCACCTATGGGTGGGAAAGGCATTAGTGTATTTTCAAAATTTGTTTGAAAATGTATCTGTTTGCTTTGGCTTTTTGCTAGTCCTACATTATTTTTGTACCAAATCATTATACTATCATTTGTGTGCACACACATGCGCATGTGTGTGGCCTTGGTTTTGTTTTTATTCCTTTGCAATCGGAGGTTGGATATAAGGAACAAATACCTCATCCAGCACGTCCTTTTTAATAAGAAGAGGGAGATGCTGCACAACAGTGTTGAGGACTTGCTTGGCTTGCTGGTGCGACAGGTGTGGCAACAGACGGGCCACCAGCCTCTTCCCTTTCCCCACAAGGAGGATCTGCAAGAACTCGTCCTTTGCGTCCCTGGAAGAAAAGACCAGCTGGTCCATACACATTTCAACGTCAAGGCAGCATTGGCTTAGCTTAGAGGCCAACAGCATTTTAGGAGAGTGGGTCGAACTTAAATGCCAAGCATGGAAGCCCCACAGGTATGCTCTACGTACTTCTGCCTGCTGAATCTATTACCTGGAATGGTTTCAGAGAGAAATTATCTTTGGACTGCTGCACGGGCAGGTGATGTGAACCCGAGGAATAAGGTTGGGAGCCTGCTGATGAATCCCAAGGAGGTAGCTAAACTGGCTGACAGAAGCGATTCAGCAGGCAAGGCTGCCCGCCCGCCCCCGCTGCAAGGACTCTCCGCACTCACTCTTCGCCGCTGCACTCTTCAATGCGCAGAGTCCGATAAATGCACTCCACTTCGTGGGCGAGCTTTTCGCAGCACTGGGGGAGTTGCTCTTCCGGGGCTACGTCCAGCTTCCGCCGCGTGTCCTCCATATCCAGTAGCCACAGGAACATCTTGGCAGGGACATAAAGCAACAGCTAGCCAAGGATTGCGGCTTTACCAAACAGCGTCTTGGCCACCAGGCCCGCTCAGTTCACCCGCCCAGGCGCGCCTTTTGTGCTTTCCCCCATTCTTCTCCCGCAGTGCGGAGGCCGCGGACGGAGCGGGTCTCCAGCTCCAAGAACTTCCACACCTCCAGTTCCACCAGCAGCCGCTAGTCTTGTCTGGAGCCAGCGGTGCCATAGAGGCGCACGTGCCAGAGCCCTGCTCACTGCCTCTTCCTGAGCCCCACAAGTGAGGCGAGGAGCGTGGGGACATGCGATGGCCATCTCAGCGGTGGCCCCTACCCTGCCTCATCAGACCAGCTTCTTCAAGGAGACAAGCAGTTAGCCCCATTATCCTTTTAATTTAACCTTTTAAATTTTCAAGCCAGTTTGATTTGCAAATGTATTTGGCTCCTGCCTTTTGTTTCTGGTATTTTAGATTACACTTATATTTCAATTGCTTTATTGCCCTAATAGGATTTTGTAGTTGGTTATTCATTAATCGTGTGAGTTCTTCTGAGCTCCTCTTGGAAGAAGGATGTAGAATGGAGTGTAAGATTTTTTTTTTTTTACAAAAGAAAATTATGCTCATAAACATATCACTAAATTGGGGGATTCATAAGGGGGGAGAACAAACATTGAACCTGTCCTTGCTCTTCCAAGAAAGCACCAGAAGCGACAACCAACAGCTTACCTTCTCAATCTGACCGAGCACCTGCAGTCGCTGGTTCCGTACGGCCTTCAAAGAAAAAAGGGGTGGGTGGGACAGTTTGCCACTTCATAACCAGCAGAGCGGCCATCAGCTCAAACTGCCTGGATGTTTTCCCAGATCTCAGGGGGCTTTGCCCTCTGCAGTACGAGTTTTAAGTACTGAGAAGATTAATGTCAAGTGGAAGTTAGAATTCCACAGGTCTGTTAGGGGTGAGATGAATAACAAAAACTTGGTGGGATACAGTGTCCACCCACACCATGTATCCACAATCTGCCATCTCTCTCCATCTCTATAATGCGCACCTCTGGCAACTCCCCCCTCCCCGCAAGAAGATATGAAGCTTGGTCCGTATTCTTTCTTCCTTGCGTAATCTTGGGGAACACGACCAGCACATACCTGCTCCACCGAGACGTGATGAACAGCATCAATAGCCCTGCGAGGACTGTAGCAAGTGGACACGGCCACCTGGCCCAGGGAGCCTGGAATCCGCACCACTGGAAGAAGCAGTCAGCTGTCAGGAGCATCTAGCATCTCGGTCCCTACGGAGACCTCCCTTGCTACAGGAGACTTACCAGATTCATAGGTCTCTACTTTTTGGATATACGGCGTGACTAGCTTGGGGACTTCAGGTTTGGACCCTCCAAGGAGCCCCTTCTCTGCTTGCTTCTGCTCCAGCTTATGATAATACTCCTACAGGTAGGATAGAACAGTTTGTTGCTGAAGGCAGGGCAGGCATACAGCACTTCTAGCACTGCCCCGAGCCTGCCGCTCCCGGCTCTTTTCCAACGAGTAGTAGACAGGGTTCCCAAAGAGCCGTCCTGCACAGACAGTGCTCGGCCTGTGCCTCTTGGCCACCATTACTAGTTTTTGAGCAAAGTGACAGAACCCAAACTGGTGTCCCCCATTGCTTTTGAGCTCTAGCCCTTTATCAGCTCCAACTGGCCAGGTTAATGATCAGGGATGCTGGGGGTTGTAGTCCCAAATGTCTGGAGAACACCAGGTTTGGGATAGTAGATCTAAAGGGAAGATACATCGTGGGAAGGCATGCCAATGCCACCGATTACCCCAGAAACTAGCCTGCAGTTGCAAGGGGCAGAACTGACCCAACCCATCACCTTAAAACTGCCACACCAAGTCCCCCCCCCCCCGACTTGATCTTCTTTTCGGGCTGTGGACTTCAGAGGAAACTCACTGTTTGCTGCACTCACCTGGTAGTAATAGTCGTCTCGATGGGGGTTTTCGCTCTGCAGCTGCAGCATCTGCACCTTCACCACCCAGTCTCTTTCCACCGATGCCATGAGCGCAGCATAGGGGTCCGTCTCCGAAGGCTGGGGCTCTGCCCCACAAACTCTTTTGATAGAAGCACGGATATCGTTTAAGCACTTTCCTCAGCCAACCCCAGAATGGCTGCAGGCTGCGGGGGGTACTCGCTTCCGTGCACGTAGCGAGAGCACACTGAGCCGCTTCAAGGATTCTTTCCCCCACACCTGCTGGTCCTCATCTCAGGGAGAGTCCACCTCTTGAGCATCATTTATTATTTTTTATTTTATTTTTCAATTTATATCCTGCCGTTTTCCTACAAAGGGCTCAAGGCAGCTTACATCTCTTCCTCCATCTTATCCCCACAACAACAACCCTGTGAGGTAGGCTGGGCTGAAAGTCTGTGACTGGCCCAGAGTCACCCAGTTGGCTCCATGCTGAGCGGGGACTAGAACCCAGGTCGCCTGAGTCCCAGTCCCATGCTCTTAACCACTACACCACACTACATTTTATTGTGAATTTCTCAGAATAAGAATAACTATATGGTTTGATCTACCATATAGTGGTATAAAGATGCCGAGCCACCTAGCCGTGTACTCCAGCCTCGTGGCTCTCCAGTTGCCCCCCCCCCCCCCCCACTTTCCATTTGTCCCTGTGCCTCACCTCCCCTCTTGCCCTCGTTGCCTTTGGGTCAGGATCCGCTGGTGCAGAGGGTGCAGCTGCGTCATGGCACTGGGAAAGCTGCGAGGAAGCCAAGGGTGAGCGGCAGCACCGGTGCCCAGTTCCTTCTGGTTCACACTCACAAGAGCAGCAGCGCCGCACATGGGCGAGGGAAGCAGGGACCTCCCCTTTCCAGCCACGTGTTCTCCTCGCCAGCTACTTACCGTATTTTTCGCTCTGTAAGACGCACTTTTTTCCCCTTGCACTTTTTCCCCCTCAAAAGTAAGGGGAAATGTCTGTGCGTCTTATAGAGTGAATGTGTGTGCGCCTGACGCCCGGGACGCTGCCGGCCTGCCTGCACCACGTGGCACCACCTGGCCGGCACATGCTCAGCGTGCCCTGCTCTGCTCCCCCCCGGCGCAGGTGAGAGCTGTGCCACTCAGGGGGAGCAGTGCGGAGGAGGAGGAGCTGCGGGCTTTAACCCGCCGGCCGCACGGAGAGACGGACTGCTCACCCCCACCGCCCGGGAAGACCTGCCGCCGCCATCGCACCACCCAGAAGACCACTGCCGGCACGCTGCCGGCCCGGCTGCACCACACCTGGCCGGCACATGCTCGGCGCACCCTGCTCCACCCTCCTCCTCCAGCGCAGGTGAGAGCTGTTAATCACAGGTCGGTGTGTGTTTTCAAATGGCAACCCGTCTTTTAATGAAGCCCATGGGGAAGTGATGGGGAAAGTGCCTGTGATTATCAGGAAGCTTTCCATGGATCCCTCCTCTAAAAACTAGGTGCGTCTTATGGTCAGGTGCATCTTACACTTTATGTATTGGGAATGGGCAAACTTCATTGGCGGCGATGGAGCCGTTCACCCCTCACTTTCGCTCCCGATGGAAGGGAGAGGGGGTGAGCAGAGGTGGCTGGCGAAGCCTCGGGGCTCCTGTATCCACACCTGGTGGTCTCCACCTGGCTGAGAGCCTCACGTGCTTGTTTGTGTATAAAAACTAAAGAGGTGCGTTACACACGTTTATGTATCGTGAGGCCCAGCCTCCAGGAGGAGAGGAATGCCACAGCTAAGCAGTCCCTCGATACAATAGTGTTCAGAGTGGCTGCATTTCTTTACTATTTTGCAGCCCAGATATTTGTCCTGTATTTTTCTTTTTTTTTTTTCCACTGAAAGTGCATCATTCCTCTGACCAGAGAGGAAAGAGACAAATGCATTATGTAGTTTAAGCCCTGAGTGTTTAACACAGGGCTGAAGGTAGGAGATGGGTTAAGCGGGTATCTTGAGGGGGTTTTGCTTAGGAGAAACAGACCATATTACATGTCATAATAATTCTTTTTCAGCTACCAAGAAAAGTCTCTTGGTGACATCAAGTAGCGTTGAAGAAAAGAACAAATGTCCAACGCAGCACGAAGAACAGCACCGTGAGCCGAAATTACGGCTACATCCAGAGCAGGTAAGTGGAAAACCTGCTGCACATGCAGGGACCATGGGCACAACCGCAACGCGTGTCGAGCAGTGAGGCGCACACAAGCGGGGGGCTCTCCCTCGCGGTCGATGCCGGTGGGTGCCGACGCCGCGGGGGGGAAACTGGAGAGCTGCGTAGAAAGCACTGCTCTGCGCTCCAACAGAGCCGGGAGTCCTTTCCCAGTGGCTAGTTGAGACGCTTGCCTCAGTGACTAGCGTGTGGCGCTGCCGAGGAGCGCCTCAGAGCCTTTCAGGGAATGGGTCAGAGTTGGACCTGCAGCTGGTTCGGGATGCAGAGCACCACAGCCCCGGCGACTGAGGAGTGGAGAAGCGGGCCGGTGGAGCACGTCGCTTGGAGGGCTGCTAGAGGCATGTGCGGCATGAGACGTGGATCTGGGGTGTTGGGGGAAAGCTGCGGAGGGTCTGAAGTGTTCGGAAGGCTTGCTGCTGTACAGACAAAAGGTTTCTTTCGTGTCACATTTTTATGGAGTGTTGATGGGTAGATTTTTGGGGCTGATTGTACAGCCTGGATTTGTATCGAACTCCCTTGGCAATGTTGTCTATTTCAGCTTGTTCTGTGTATTATAGTTGTTTTGCTTTCAAAATATTTTGTCGAAAGAAGAAAGACAACAAAAGAACAGGCCCACCACAGTTCTAATCTCATGGCTCAGCTGCAGCCAGATCAATTGAAGATGGATTGCCGTATACACTTTCTACTCCCAGAACCTTTGGTCACCCTCCCACGCAAGGTGGTCCCCCCTTTCCCTTTCTGTACCTGAATTTCTGCTGGCTGCAGGTTGATGGACTGAAGGGTGGAGAGTCAAGAGTGTGAGTCAAAGACCAAGCTGGGCTATTGACGTTTGAGAACAAGGACCTGAATGGAGGCGGGGAAGCATAGCCTGAAGTCTGGACAGGGAAAGAAAAGAAGAGGGTTAGTTTATCCAGCATCCCCACCAATTAAGTTCTTAATCAGATCAACTGGAGGAATCAGGCTGAACACCAGAGAATATTTTCCAGTCGGGTTTCTCTTTAAAGCTCTCCGCTGGAATCCACAGCGGCTCATAGCAGGAGGCAGTCTTTCTCCCCCATTAAGAACCTGGAAGAAGCCAATGACTTTTTGCTCCCTATTCGGACTGATGAAGGACCTTCTCTCTTAGTTGTAGAAGAGAGGCTCGTGCCCACTCCATCTCAGAAGCAGTCTGCCATTATCTCGAGTGAATGTGGTGGCTCATTTCTAGTGGGCCAGGATGAGCACTGAGCGTGCATTCCAGGGATTCTTTGAAAGAGACCAGAAATGCCTAATGGAAGTGTCAAGTGGCAGCCTTAACCCATAGAACCACCAGGGGGCGCCCTAACTCTCCCATTATCAGTTTTCTCTCTCTAGTTGAGGAACAAAGAATTGCGTTACCTGTTATGACTCTAACAAAGCAAAACGAAACAAAACCAAACAAAAGCCTGCATTTCTAAGGTTTCATCAGTGTAAACCTGGTTTTAGAACTAAAGCTGTATTCTGAGCAATCTGGCTGCAACTGTATGTCCAATTTCCCCAGTCCCATCACACCGGAGAAGAAGTGGTAGATCCTGACGTTCTAGGTCACATCACACATTTGAAGCATTAAACCTGTTATTATGGAGATGTTCCCGTCTGCAGGTGTCACTCCAGCCTTTCCTAACGTGTTCTTGTTCAACCACAACTCCCAGCATTCCCAGGCAGCATCAAATGTATTAGAAAAGCACTCAATTGGGCAAAGACCGCTTTATCTTCCTCGTTACCCTTCCTTTCCCAGCCAGAAAACTTGCCAACTCTTCACTGATAGCTCTGCAAGAAGAGATGTCCTTTGTCAATGCCGGGCCTTATATGAGAAGAAGGGGGAGGCTCCAGTCTCCTAGAAAATTTGAGTCCTTCCCGGATGCTCAGCTAGCCACTGGTTATGGCTATCCTGAGTGGCCGCAACAACTGTGTGAGGTTTGGAAAGCCCTTGATGCCAGGCCGTGTACCAAGAAATCTGGCAAAGAAGTTGTGTGTTTTAGTGGATGGACATGCTAACAGCAATACTAGTGCATCACATAAAACCCTCATTTTAGAAGGAAATCTAAGCAGAAAGACAACACGTGGAACCCGCTAAAGGGCAAACTACACGTTCAACAGGGCATTACCTGATTAAGGCCAAACGCACGGCGTGTCCTGCGGGGTGGAGTGAATGGGTAAGGCGATCTTACTGAGCCAGCCATCATGGGAGACTGCTGTGGGGCAGGGGAAGATAATTAGGTAGCAGTAGGGGTGACGGAAGCCTAGACACCCACCCCTCCGAAGCATTGCTGTGCCCATTGTGTGGTGGAGTAATGATTCGTTACGCAAGCGTGGGTAATGGTGGGCAACTCATAAGGAACTAACCCTGAGTAGCACTGAGTAAAGACAGCAGAATCTAGAGCATGAGAAACAATGAAGTTGAGCACAGAGTTTACCTGCCGTGTGAAGCGCTGAGAAGGCTTGAGTGTTCTCCCTCGAAAAACCGAATGGTCAAGAGGAGAGGAATCTAGATAGCTTGTCTGTGTTGGTGAGGCCAGGAAACTGAGGTCTGTGCGGGACATGGAAGCTCTGTCCAGTGCCTGAGGCACAGCAGTCAAGGATTAATACAATTGTTCCCAGGCATATGAGGATAGAAAGCATTTAACTTCCTAATAAACAAAGACATCTCCTCGATACATTTTTGCTTTGCACAGTTTATGGTCTGAAGCTTGTGTACAATCAGATTTAAGTGACACCAGAAAAACAGAGGCAATGTTTCTTCAACATGATGTTTCAAAGCCTCTCCCAACTTAAGTTTCCATGTGAGAAGGTAAAAAAAGTCAAGTATTGAGACCTCAACCTCTGAACCCCAATGCCTCAAACACTTTACATTTTTGTATCACTCAATCACTGCAGCACTTGAGTAGCTTCAAGTACTTCTAAGTCCTTCCAGGTTACGACACATTCACCCTTCCTGGTTCTGCAGTAAAGCCAGGTGTATCGTTCTGTGGCCACAGCAGAAAATACCTGAGAGTGAACCCTACCTCCATCAAAGATACTGACGGGACTCCTCTCACAGCAGAATTCCACCTACCAGATTTTGATGCTGCCTAAAAGGAATTGAAGACACTCATACAATAAAGTTAAGGACAGAAAAAGCAAAATTAGAAACATAAGAAAACAAATGAGTACCATTAACTGGAAGAGTGAAATGTTCCACTCCCAGTCTCATAAGCAGAATGGACTGGGCTAGAACAGTTTCTTCATAAAACAAGAACTTCAGTTGGCGCCAGGACGCAAGAATGGTGTGCATCGGGGAAGGTCTCCTGAAACATGCGTGTCTGAAAGTCACGCGAGAGGACTGCTCTTGACTAATCTGTCCCTTGCTCTGAGCCTCCTGTGTTTAATAGACATTTCATAAAGAATCCTTTAGCTACTGAAAGATTATGCACGGCTCATCAAATCTTGAAATGTCACACTAAGTGGCACCATACCCCAACTGCAACAGATCCCACAGAGGAGTGGCCTTCTGGGTCGAGCACCCCTTCCCCTTTATTTTAAGCTTTATAACTAAGAAGGCGCCCTCCGATTCTTGCGGGCCTCCTCTATTTTTCCTTCACACTCTTGAGATAACACAGCATCTTAAAGTAGTTGTATAGTGTTTATCCTTCATCTTTGCTGGACCATCACCTTTTCTGTCTGAGACACTAATCTTCATTTCCAGCCCAAGTCAATATGAATTTCTCATATTCGTGTGCTGCTACTGTTGCTTCTAAACCATCCATGCTTGTTATGGCTCTACTGCTACTAGATGACAGGATTGTTGGGTAAGCACTCTAGATGTACTTTGCACATGGATGTGCCTCTTGTTAATATAACCACACTGGACGCAGCGAAGCCATCTTACCAGGTAGTCCGCAGGGTAATCGGGAAGACTGTTAGCAACTCTACTGTCAAGAACAGCAGAGTCCTCTCTCTGTGAAACAAAACAAAGCAAATGAAGTTAAAGAGTTGACACTGACAAAGCTGCATGGAAACAGAAAAGTCACCGAAGCATGAAAAATAGAAAAGTGCTCCTTTGACATCCATTAATGCAGTGAGGATTTTCGCTGATTCCATCAGGAGGGGCAGCACAGCCAGCATCTCTTCTAGATGTTTAGCAAGGTTGCGTGGATAAATTGCTGCCACCTTCCATGAAAGATCTCCCCTCTACAACGTAACAGCTCTCACTTGCCCTCCGTCTCAGGTGAGGGACCCCATGCCGTGGGATGGAGCCAGAGGCCTCCTTTGCCCGCTCCTCCGGAGCCCAGCTCCTTCCCCGTTCCAGCACTGGCTGGGAGAACAGCGCCAGTGTGGGACTCGAGCAAGCTGGCCTACGGGCCACAGCTGGCCTTGCGCTGCCTTACCTCCAGTGTGGGCTGGCCACGCACGGCTCTCATGACCGCTGGGTCCCCCAGCTCATTTGGCTCTTCAGCGTCCTCGTTCGCACAGCCTTCTTCCTGCTCAGCCGTGGCCACTTCCTCCTCTTCCTCCATGGCCTCGTAAGTGAGCCGTAACTCCGTGCGAAGGCTCTCGTTATCGGAAAGTTCTTCCAGCATGGGCTCTGTCTCTGCCAGTTGGGACGGCTGTTCTTCCCCATGTTTGGGTTTCTTCTCGTCCACAGTAGCTGCCCCCATCAACTCCTCAGGCGCTTTCTCTGGGTCCGTTACCAGAGCTTTTGCCCCTTCCTCTCCCAGGTAAGCTTTATAGAAAAGAAAACAAAATTTCCATTCTGTGGCTAAAGCAGGAATTCAGGACTGAGAGCAGCTGCATTCCTTGTTCTGCAATAGCTCAACACAAAGGCTCTCGGTGTGTTAAACACCACAGTGTGGAAACTACACAACCTGATGAAGCCACTGGGCTACTTCCCCAATCCCCTCTGGTTCTCATAATCAAATTAGTGAACTTCAGGATTCCATGGATGATGAGATGAAAGACTGCAGGGGACATAGCAGCACAAACGAATTCAAGTTGCAAAGCAGGTCTGGAACAAGCCCAGCTCTTTCACTCTGTCCCATATTTGGCCACGAGGGCGGGGGGGGGAGGGTCACAGGATGTGAAGCTTTGTTCCAGCACTTTCCCCCCTTCTTCCTAATCCCCTTTCCTTGGAAGTCATTTCACTTTTAGATTTCATTGCCTACAGGCAAAGATGGTCTTGTTCATCCCATTAGCTCGAGGAACCTCTTTTGGTTGAGGAATGGGATAAAAGCTGGGTTAAATATCATACACAGCTCCTTAGGGAACTCTGCTCTTCTCTCTGGGGCACTGCCACAGGCAAAGTAGGAGATGCTTTTGGTTTCTTGTTCAGGCATGTTTTTATACAAATGCCTCCAACTTGGTTCATGAAGATGATTTGGGAGTGGATTGACGCTCCCCCACCCCCATACTGACTTTCCTTTCTGCTCTGGGCCCATTTCTATTGCAAGCAACCACCGTGTTGCTTTCAGGGGCTCTAGGAGAGATGATGAACAGGTACCTGATGAAGCTAATGTCAAGTTAATGTAAAGATCAATTTCATCCTCTTCATCCGTTTTGTCCACCAAAGGTTCTTCATCCATCATAAAGTAATCCTCCAAGATCTAGTTAGGAAAACAAGGTGGTATATAGCTTGATCCTGACTCCATCTTGGATTTTATCTTCCTTTGTCCTCCATCTGTTTTTCTGGGGCGTTTTTAAGATCATAAACTCCTTGAAACAGGAACAGTCAAAACTGTTCTTTGTACCTCAGCATGTACATATGAAAAATAGTAAGTGCACTGACACCTTTTATCTTGTCAGTGTCTCAGACACATAATCACAGTGCAGTTTCTCATTTCTCTGCCTGCTTGCACTTTCTTGCTTCTTCCAGATCCTCAAGGTGTAACACTATGCAACTCTAGCGGGCAGTTGTAGGGATTTTTCTAAACGTACATAGGACTCGCCCTTCGCCGCTTTTTAATCTTCTCCTGTCCCCTTCCCTTGTTAGCAATGTGCAGACCCCCAATTTTGCTACACAAGCTGTTGATCTGCTGCGCCTACTTTAGTGTGCTGCAGGAACTGAAACATTTCCTGCTTCTCACTGCATAACTACTGGATGGTTCTTGAACTATAGTTGAAAGTGTTCAACTTATTGAAAAATGCGGTTTCATATAGAGGTGCAACTGGGGGGTTCCAACATCGCCTTCAGAACGGGGTGAAATGCATAGATTGCAATGAGCACTCAATAAATGGCAGTGCAGAACGTCTGTGCGCCACACCCAGCCATACTTCTGACATAACGAGCCTGCATGCCACCTTCTCCCATGCCTGTTTCAGCGGCCCCGGGGGGCGGGCGGCTGCGGTCCACCATTTGCGGTGCTCCGAGCTGGAACCATGTATTGGCCAGTTCAGTGCCCACACCCTGCTCCCAACCCTAGTCTGTCCCATCTGTATTTCTAGCCCCGCTGCTTTGCTCAAACAAGTGTTTGGTTTGTTGTCATAGATAAGACTTTTATTATATGTATGTCATTCTTCCTTATGGGCTGCAGGCTCTTTAAATCATATCATGGCTTCTCTGTCTAGCCAGAACTTTCCACTGTTACTTGTGAAGGAGCCATTTCCTCTTGGGTATTTCCACCAATTCTGCAATACCCCAGTGCCAGCTAGAGGTTTACACAGCACAAAATAGGGACCGAAACTCACTGCTGGGTAGAAAGTCGCTGTAGGAGCTTAACAACCCCGTGAAGAAACACTCGAGGTTTTGTGGCGCGGTGCAGGCAGGGAGCAGCCTGCTGCGGTGCAGCGTGGGAAGATGCCCCGTCCGAAAACACGTAGATTAGAGCGTCTCATTGCATGCACATCTCTTCCAGCGCCCATCCCCAGCTGATAAAAGGGCCCACCCAACGGAAGAAGAAGATGCAGGATTTGGGGAGCGTCATGGGGTCCCCGAAGTGCCCGACTTCGCCCGCAGGTGGCTCTAAGTGCGCAGTCTGCAGCGCCATCCGTTCACTGGCGGGCGAGTCAGCCCATGGCCCTTCGCACGCAGGAAGGCGCGCCCGGGATTGCGCTTGCAGGCGCCCACCCGTGCGAGCGCGACCCTCCCTTCCCCCGTGAACCTCGGGACCCGAGAACACGCCCGCTATTCCCGGGGAAATAGCGCGTCCCGTGCAAACAAGCGCGAGGGGGGGGGGGCGGCGAGGCGCGCCCCCAACCCAGCCGCCGCCCAGGGAGCGGAGCCCCCTCACCACGTCCGCCGCCGCTTCTTCCTCGGCCGCCGCCGCCGCCGCGCCCCCCTCCGCCATCGCTTGCGCCTCGCTCGCTCGCTCGCCCGCGCCGCCGCGCCGCCATCCCCGCCTCTTATAGGGGGCCTGCGGGGGGATGGGCGGGGCGGCAGCCGCTCCCGGGGCTTCCTTAAAAACACACGGCGGTGGTTGCCGCTTTTGTCGGGGAGGCGCTGGGGGCCGAGAGGACGGGGGCTCGGGCCCACGAGGCAAAGCGGTGCATCGCACGCACGGCGCGCCCCGGTTTGCCTGTGCGCGGAGGTCTCTCTCCCTCTGCGCGCGGGCGCACGTGCCTCTGTTAGGGAGCCGGTCTTCTTAGGAAAGCAGGCACGCGCCTTGTGGGGGAGCCCCCTGGCGGAAGGGCCCCCGGGGGGGGAGTCAGGAGGTGAAGCACCTGTGGGCAGGGGACCCCCGCCCCAGCTCGTCCTGGGGATCCAAAGGAAGCGATCCTCAGGGCTCCTGCAGGTGTATTAATTGCTCCTTCTCTCTCTCACACTGACTTCAGAGCTCATATAATTAGCATATGCAAATTTCCCCCGGATCTTTTCATTACCGTTGCCCATCCATCCCAAGGCCTGAGTCATCTATGCCAGGATCCCGCTGGGTGCAGAAGGGGCCCTCACCTGTGGGAAGCATCACACACAGGGTTTGCATTCACATCCGGAGTATGCGGTCCAGCCAGGAAATGCTAGGAGGTCCTATGGACATACCTGAGCGAGAGCAGCATCAGGGGGGATGGGGGTCCCTCAGCAGCCCACAGGCCAGTCCCCACTCCCCTTGTTTCCCATTGATTGGCATCTGAGGAACCCTCACTGCCCACCACCATCCTCCAGCTGGACTCCACATACCCCATGGTGGCAATATTCATTCCACCTGTGCCTGCTGGGAAGAGGGACCCTGCGACTTGGCTGCACGTCCCAAGTTTAAGTTACAGTGTGCTGGAGTTTCTGCCCCATCCCTTGAATGCAGGAACATCTCTTTAATTGAATTCAGCCCTTTTTTCCTGTGGTTATGCTCCCATGCTTCAGACAACAGCCTGCCAAGCAGAAATTTGACAGGGGAAGCTTTTTCCCACCACCAGTCTCTGTGCCAGTAAAAAGCTTCCTTCTACTGACAGGTTTGTACATGAGGTTGAATTCCTTTGCAAATCACGTTGAGTGAGGCTCTCGTCAACACGGCAAACACCTCAGAATGCAGGTGCAGCGCAGGCTCACATGTCCGAATCCTCCTCATTGAAAAATCGGGTGTCAGGGTGAAGGTTCCAGGCCAGGCTTTTCACTGACATGCTAACTTTCTAAGTGGCAGGAGGGAATTACTTCGCCTGCTGGAGCATTGCATTGTTGGAAACTCCACCTTATCTGGAGGGTCGCATTTTCCTAACTCCGTCTCTTAGGTCAAAATACGGTGATCCAGCTCTGCCGCGTTGAGCAGCCCCACCACTCCGGTTGTTCCACAGAGTACAGCCAGCCACACCTCCGCCTCGGAGACACGCAGGTAGACACAGGCACTGCCATCTCGCCATGTTGCTTGGTTGAGGCTTTTTTGTTGCCTCGGTCAAAGATCACGATGGCTTCCCATCCCTTTTCATGATCAAAGTCTGCTTGGACCATTGGCTGAATTGCTCCTGTATGCTGATGAAAAGATAGTGTCCGTCGCTGCACCTGAAGGCAACAGGTGAGCGCAGGGGGCACTGGGCAGGTCAGGAGACCCGTGGCTCTCTCGTCAGGTGCCTCTGCTGCCTGAGGGAGCTGCTTCACTCTGCCTGATGGCAGGGCAGGCCCTGTGCTTGCTTTGCATGTGACCGCCCCCCACAAATAAACAATAAGCAAACTTCACTTTCACAGGTATTGCAGTAATTAGTGGATGCTTCTGGAGCAATAAGCCAAGCTATATTTTGTAGGCCTTTGCCAGGTTGGGTGTGTTCTTGTTAGAACTGGTGAGACAACCTTGTACTGGGACAGGGTGAAGCATTTTCATGTTGAGGAGCTTGGATTTTAACTACACTTAAGTTACTTGGTTACTTGAAAGGTTAGTTTTAGAAGTTTTATTGCTCCATATTTGAATGCGGAGGTTGTATATGTTAATATATGGAATATGGGCTAATTCAATAACTCAGTAAAGTTGACAAGTGTGAAAAAGTTCACAATTAGGACAATTTGGCTCGATCCTTTCTAGGATTAAGAAAAAAAGCTTCCAGAATCCACCAAGTATGTTTCAGGAGTTTTGATGATTTCAAAGGCTTTCTCACATGTATGTGACCTCTTAGCTGCTACTAATGAATACATTATCCTGTTTTTGCCGGGTTTTCTCCATAATGCCCAACCTCCTATTTTTGCACCCACTGTTTATTTTTCGGTCTGTCATGCATTAACCCACCCCGTACCGTTTCCGGCTATGATTGCCTTTCATGTTTGCATTTCCATCATAAGCTTCACAACACCCGTTTCCGTCAGCAAACGTCGGGCGTGCTCGGGCTCGGCTGCCCGGCTTCGGCCGCCACCGCCTGGCCGCGCGTCCCGCGCTCGGCGCCTGGCCGTTTCCAGGAATCCACCCGCCTTTCCAGCAAGCGAAAGCGAAAGCGAAATGCGGCGGCGGAGCGAGGCGCGCATGTGCAGGAAAGTCCCTGCCGCTTCTCCGGTCGCTTGCGGCAAGGGGTCTGCCCAGCTACCGGTGACGCGCGGGCCTGCGGTCTTTGCCATTGGAGGAAAGGAGGCGGGGTATAGGCGTGGAGTTCGCCCGGGGAGCTCAGACCGACTCTCGCCTGGGAGCTGCCAAGCCGTGCGCGTCGAGCGTCTTCTGCACCGGTCGGGGCCGCAGCCATGGCGAAGGGGCTTCTCTTGTGCGCGACGTTCCTGATGTGCGTCAGCGTCCTGCTGGCCGTGCAAAGTAAGATCGTACTTGCGTCCCCGGGCTCGGGTCTTGCTCGGCAGGGCTGCCCGGCGTAATGGTGGGGGGCGCGTTCTCGGGTTGCCTTCTCCGACCCCATCCCTCGCACGCCGTCTCTGCCGACCCTGGCGGGCAGTCGCTTCCTCCCGCCGGGCTCGTCCCTCGGCGGGGTCGGTGGCGCGGGCTTGGCTCAGCCAAGTTCAGGCCAGCGCCACATGTCCCAGACCCGCTGTACGGGCGTTTGCCCTTGATCCGCAGCTTCACTTTTATTTTATTTCCATGCCGCCCTTCGAACAACCAGAGTGAGTCCAGTTGGGCGGGGGGATGCCTACTTCCAGGAAAGTACTTAATCCAGTATTTAAACCTGGACTTGCCTCCGAGGCGCTTTTGGGGGGAGAGCACGGAAATTCCGATCTGTGTTTTACTGGTGTAGGATGGCCAAGAAGAAGGAAATTGTCCAGATCGGTTAGTTCGGCATCGAGGGGAAGGTTTAGGTTTGGAGGCAGCGTAGGTCTCACAGGTCCCATGTTGGGGTGGGATAGACGACAGCAGAAGCCCAAGGAGCCCTCAAAGCACGCCCCCCCCCCCCCGCGGCTCTTCCTCTTTCCTTTGCGTATCACTTCTAAACATGGTTACTTCACATTTCCGGCCCATCTGCGAGGCGAGATAACGCCCAGCCCTGAAACACAAGATTAGACGTTTTCCGAGGACAGGGCCAGTGGATTTCAAGAAGACTGTTCAGTAGGAAATTATGGATCTACCACCAGTCCATTTGTTTGGGGTGGGGCAATACATTTCTGAAGGCAGGAACACTTTTTACCTTCCTAGGAAAGAATAACAAATAATAGAAATGTAGTGAGGTTTCCCATTCCTTATTAGGAGGTTTCACGATGGTGTGTTGGAGCTTTGAAAAAAAACAAAAAAACAAAAACAAGTGTGTGAATTCTGGGAAATTTGGACGGGAAGGGAGATTTCTGCTTCGCTTGGTCCTGATCTTACCCCTCGCCAAAACACCTTTTCTGCCCAGCCGCCCCTGTCACAGTTCCCCAGTGGGAAAGGGCTACTCCTTGCCGTAGAAAAGACAGATCCCCGATGCCAGGGTCGTGGTCTGCCTTTGCCCCTGCCTTTGTTTGGGTTCCTAGCAGTGAACTCATGGCGAAAATTATGTCGCGGGGACAGTGATAGAAAACCGTGGACAGGCCTTCAGGCTGTTTGAGTTGGAGGAAATCCATCCTCCAATATCCAAGTGTTCTGATTTTTTCCTAAAAATAAATAAAAAGAAGCAGGCAGAAGCCCCTTCCACGTGACCAAAGGTGGAAGGGGGGTCAGCAGCCGGTTGTGGTCTCCTGCAGCTCCGCTGATCCCTTGCCACTGCTGACTAGGACTGATGGAGGGCCACCAATGATCCCCCTTTGCTCTGTTTCTCTGCACTGTGAAGCTTCCGGTGTGGGGATAGTATTTGTAGAAAAGGGTGTTTCCGCTGCAACTGCCGCTCTCAGCAAATCCAGGCAGCTGTGGGTCTGTGTTCAGGGCTACAGCTCACAGTAGAGGGGCAGCTGAGGTGTGCAGGTGAGCACAGGTGACCTCACAATCTATGCACTGCACGGGGCACTGTTTGTTTATGGGACTGATCTCCACAAATGAAGACTGGGGCACGCATTGACTTAGCCGGTCAAGGGAAGGGAAGGGTGTGTGCTTTATCTTGCCCTGTGGGCCCCTTTTCTGCCGAAAATCCCACATCCTGAGCCGCTTTAGCCTTTGGGCTTCAAATGTGTAGTGGCCCTTGTGAACACTTCCCTGGAAGTTGTGGGGGGAGTCGAAGCGCCTGTGTTTATGTGTGGGGCACTGAGTGGGAGAATGGCCAGCAGAGAGAGGGCCGATCGCATTCCCAAGCCGCGTTTGATTAAAACAAAACAAAGCAGCATCGGGACTTTGTTTCGTTGTGTTTGCTGGCTTACTTCCAGGGGTGTTTTACATAGTCATGTCCTTTGCCCTGTTTCCTTTGTGTGACAGTTGCAAGTGCCAAGAGAGGAATAAGATGGACTCTTGGTCATTGCCTGGGCGTAGAGCAGATGCTGCTTCTGCTTTCTCTTTTCCTTTCTCTTGGTGCATAAAATGTCGCTCTCCTTGCTTTTTAGGTCTAAGTGTATTCATCTTTCCTGAAACTTGCATCTGGGATGCAGTCCTTGCAGCAGGACTTCTGCTCCCACAGCATATATCTGTGGTCAAAGGATTGACTGTGTGTGCTTGCTTTTGTGTGTGACAATAGGCATGTGGCTTCCTACACAAAAGCATTATCTGGGAGTAAATTTGTCTCGCTGTACCTGGGCCAGATTGCATGGCAAGTACCGCCTAACAGGACACTTTTCCCCCGTCTCTCATCCCTGCAGAGCCTCCCACAGTGCAGGTGTATTCACGCTACCCTGTAGAAATCGGCAAGAGCAACATCTTGAATTGCTACGTGGAAGGCTTCCACCCTCCAAAAATCAACATCACTCTTCTGAAGAATGAGGATCCACTGAGCACAAAGCAGACCGATCTTTCATTTAAGGAAGACTGGACCTTCCAGCTCCTGACCTACGCAGAAGTGTTTCCTAATGGAAAAGATCGTTATTCCTGCAAAGTAGAGCATGCTACCCTGGAAAACCCAAAAATTGTCCAGTGGGGTAAGTGCTTTGTTACTTTGTGGCATTGACACTTCTCATTCCCTTTCTTCCTATCCTAGGACACGAAACATGAATGTTTGTGCTTTTTGGTCTGTGGCCACTGTAGACTGTGCATTTGGGCCACCGCTTACCTGTCTGGGGCAGAGTTAGGCAGATCTTCAGGTGCTCTGCTCCTAAAGCCCCCCACCGGCACAGCCAGTGCTCAGAATGGCTAGGAATTGTAGTCCAGAAATATTCCGAGTCATTGCTGGAATCAGTTAAAGGAATCAGTAGAACAACGCTGCTTTCTGGCAGATGGAATGAAAGCAAGAAGGAACTCACCGGAAGGGTTAGGAGGTTTGCTAGTCTAGTGAGCAGTCCTCCTCTCTGGTAAATATATTTTCTTAGGGTATTATCTACTTAGTCGTTTCTTTCTGGACTATCATAGATGGGTATTGCTTAAATATAATTCTGCTTTTACAGCTATTGCATTATGACATTTCTTGCTTGCCAGCTCCGATTTGCTAGACAACTTTATTCTCTTCGCAATATTCCATGCCACTCTTCCTCCTCTCAGCCCCCACCGTTTGCCTCTGCTGATAATACAGACGCATATTTCACTTTTCTGTTACTGACAAATTGTGCAACAGGCATTCCATCATTGTGGTGATTTGATGATTTTATACACATACTTCATTTTTCAAAAATGACCAGGCAAACTCAAATTCTTGGGTCTACCTTTTGTTGTTGCTACAGACAGTACTGTAACTTTGCATCTCTTGTACTTTTTTAACATAAAATGTATTCTTCTAATGTTAAGTGGCAAGAAGTAGAGCCAGGAAACTATTTAGCCGTGTCCAGATATTTGAAATAGAAGTGATTGCAATATATTCCGAGGCTTCTGATGGGGGCAGTCCTTCCTTGCAAAAGGAGCCACTTTTCATCGGCCGCAGCTTGGGCAGGTCGCATGGCATCCATAAGCGGAGGTGACTGGTGTTTGCTGAGATCGGCGGGGTGCAGGCTGGGGCACCGATTTGTAGGCAATGCCAGTTTCACAGCCGCCCATTGTACAGAAAGGCCTGCAAAAGCAAATTAACTTGGACTTGATGTCTGCAAAGCGGAAGACTGGCGAGGGGAGAGGTTCATGCGGCCCCAAAGAGTTGCCTCTGATGTGGTTATTTTGTCTTGCAGATCAGGAATATTAAGAGAACTCTCATGAGCAAATAAGGTAAAGCACATGTCTATATATACATCATGAAAGTTGTAGCTGCTATGAATTCTATCCATGTATGTAGATATTTATTTATTAAGAGAGGTAGATTTTACTTTTCCTTCATAAAAGAGATCCATGGTGGTTAACAAAACAATATGGACCGAGTTCTGTTGGGCTGAGAGTCCGGTGGGCCCAAAGTCACCCAGCGAGCTCCCTGCTTGAGTGGGGCCTAGAACCCAGAAATAGTTTGCTGCTGTTGCAATTACAGGTGTGTGTGCAGTTGTAGTCGATATGTTCATATTTTTGGAATAATGCCTTGTGAGGGACAAGTGTGCCTTGAATGCAGGCTAAATATTTTTTAGCTAAATATATACGTCAATGTTGTATTTCGCTTCTTTTCACTACAGCCATGTCAGGTTAGGCTCAAATAGGCCACCCAGTGGTGAACATGAGGCAGGGCTTGAGTCCCAGGACTTTGCTTTCAAAAGAATGCATGTAATGTTGGGCTTCTGTTTTTCTTGTCTTCAGGTCTGGCATTCCCTGCCTTTATAAACGCCTTCTTGCAGTTTTTCTACTTATAACCGATTGCAGAGCTCTTTGGGTGGTTTTCTGTACCAGACTTCGCTGAAACATCATGTGCATTTTCCTATATCGGATTGTTAACTTTTTCTACTGTTATAAACAGAAAAAAATGGAAATCTCAGTATCAGCCGTTCTGATTCAGGGCTATAGCAATGCTTAAAATGAAAAGATTGTATTTGCCTTAAAATGCTTTTATGGAGCTGAGCATGAATTGTGTAGCAAAGAAAGCCTGTTAGAGATAAATTGTGAAGCATTTGTATTTTACTACTCTTCATAAGATGACCCTAAGTCTCTCTATCATTTGACCTGTCTGAAATGTAACTGCATAATTTTTCACCCTTTAATAAAGTGGCACTGATCATTATTTGCTCTATAACAGTTGGTGTCTTTGATTTCTTGATTCACTACACAGCTCTAGTTGTATCTATCAGATGCAAGACCCACCGAGTTCATTAGGGCTTGCCCCCAGGTTACTGTATTGGATAAAGCACATTTAGGCAAAATGGAGTAGAACTTACTCCATCCAGTGTTCAGTGCCTTGGGTTCCTCACAAAAGGGAAAAAGGCACTAATCTATACTATTTAATGCCTCTTTTCGAAGTGCTTCATACAAGACCTGCCCTATGGTCATACTATTCTATAAGTCCATATTAATCTACCTGTGAAATGCAGAGGTGCCTAAAGTTTCTTCTGGAAGTTACTGGAATAAAAAATGATTACAAAACTGGAGGCGAGATTGGCTTCAAACCTGCAATTTGGATAGAAACTGCTGATGCCAAGGCAGAGTGCGGCAAGAACCAGGAAGCCTGCGGCAATCCCACACTAAAACCACCGGACAACACCCAGAGTTGCAGCTGATTTTGAATCTCCCAGCAGTAACAGAAAGAAAGTGAAAGGAGTTGCAGAGAGGGAAGGAACTTGAAGAAAGTGTAGCAAGGTGGCAAAGCAGTGGGCACCTTTCTAGAGAGACAACCACATAGGAGTGGCAGCCTTGCCTTTGATGGCCAATTGTGCAAGCAGGCATGATGGGGGTGCGTGCAGAGGGCCTCCACCCCCGCAGGGTCCTCCTCAGCCCCAGTGACACAACCTTCGTGTCCACCTGCTCCTCCCTCTGGCCGACTACAGTGGTGAAGAGAGGAGGAGATGCCACCAATTGCCTGTTCAGTGGCTCCCTGCCCATCTAGCAAGTTGGTGGTGCGAACGATAAGCGAGGAGTGAAAGCAGCACGTGATCATGTCTGAGCAGGTGGACTTGCTAACAGAGGGACCCATGGAGGATGTTTGCCCCAAAGACCCCCAAAAACCTGGAGGTGACACTCCAGTACAACTTGATTAGATGTTTTACTGGTTTGGTGTTTTTTTTTTTTTTTTATTGGTCTAGGTGGAATGGAAAGGATAGAAATAGCAGATTTACAACACAAAGTAACAAAGACAAGAACAAGAACGAAATAATGTTTACATGCACAATGTTTCATAACATTTGCCCCAGTACCTTGGGGCAAATTCCCACTGATCCAAATGTGGGCCATTCCAGAATGAAGTTTTATAAATCGGTTTCTCCAACCTTTGGATACCTGGAGTGCATGAGGAAGTTTTAACCAAGCACCTACACATACCTCATGAGAGAAGGATTTCTATGTATACAGTGTGAAGGAGACATGAGATAGCGCTGAAGGACGAGTAAGATGAGGCTTACCTGAGGACAGTTAATTTTGGTTTCCCTGTGAGAGTTTCGTGGTGCGGCCCGAGGACAAATCTTGTCACAGGAATCCAGGTGGAATCTTCTGGAAGAGGAGAACAGTTGGTGCGGCAGTTACTAGTCAGGACTCTAACGCTGGCTAATGACGCAGAAATCCAGAGTCTCTGCAGAAGAACGTTGTTCGGGAAAGCAGGTGAGCCATTCTGACAATGCACGGAGAAATGGCAATACCGCAGGGAGCAGGGAGGACGAACGGCAACTTCCAGATGGGCCAGTGCCGTCCTCTGGCCTGTCTTGATTAAAAAGGAGTTCTAGAGAGGAAGGGTGGTTTTGATAGGGGAAGGCATAAAGTCAGCACCGGTAAACGAGACTAAGGTGCTATCTTAAGCTTGTTTAGACCAAAAGTCTTACAACTCCCGTCATGCTGTAGTGTGCTGAGAGTTGTTGGACTGGGGTTTTTTTTTGGGGGGGGGGGCATGGGATGGCACCCTAAGCTAGTTAATGGATTAGACAAACCAATTAAAGCATTTTGATTGTCTAAAAAGTTTTCCCTGATTAATTTGGCAGCAGATTTTAAATGTTTTTTTTTAATGCGGGTACTTCTATAAACTAGATGGGATTGGCAAGCGGTCTTTGAGGCACTCCCTTCTGAGTGAGAGATGGTAGGAATGATCAGGCAGTGTGTGTCATGTTTGTACAAATCCCAAACTGGTTTGGGTGATTTAGGAATTAAAAATCTTCCACCCCAGACTGCATACTGAAGGTTCATTAGTAATCTGCATTTGGAGGGACACTAACACACAGACTGCGCATCTCCAAAAATTAGTTTATTCTCCCAGAGCTCTTCTTACAAGGAAAACCTCAGGACACAGAGTAGGGCAGGGAGAGCAGAGGATTAGCATCCAATGAAGCTGCCAGCGCTCTGGAGTCTCCACACCGATACACCTGAAATGTTGCATGGTTCTTTTATTTTTGCATAGCGACGCCTTTGTGACAAACAACATTTTCATATAAATTATCCAGAAACTCTTAGGAGAACTAAGTCATTCATTCTCCCCGTCCATCCAAACTCTCCTCTGAGGTGGTTTTGGGGCAGCCCACTAGGACTGGGGTCCTGGATCTTTCTTTTGGGATCCCAGATCCTTGATGGGCATCTCCCCCATCAGTGCTGTCCACTGAGAAGTCCTGAAATAAGCGCCCCGATGATCTCCGTTTGCATCTGATGCCCCTGGACCAAAGGGGATTTTGCCCACATACATGTCACCTCCTACTGGCCCCTGCGCTTGAGTCTGTCTGCCTGGGGTATTTTCCCCCTGAAATAAAATGCCCCCTTTCCCCTGTCACTTGTTATAGTGTAGAATGACCTTTCCCAAACCTGGAAACACCCCCAGGTGTTTGGACTTCAGCTTCTCTCAGTCAGCCTTCCCCGTGGTCAGGGATTTGGGGACTTGTAGCCCAAAACACATGGTCAGGGACGTCACATAGCTTATGGCTCAGCTTTGATTACACTTGAGAGCTTTGCCAAAAACGTGTGTCTTAAAACTGTGGCTCCCCCATGAGTGTCCAGAAAGGCCTCTCCGTCACCGACACTGCCATCCTTTGAGAGCCTCTGTCCCATGGCTCTTTAATGCACCTGGCAAATTGTTTCAAGTTGTTTTAGCTGTCTTATAGGATGGCAATATTTTAGCAAATAATCTTTTTAGCTGCCTTATATGGTGTATATTTTTATTCCATTGCAAGTCAGCTTGAGTTGATTCGACCATGGCAGCCTTCCCTGGCCTTGTGTCTTCCAGATGCATTTGGACCACACTGCCCAGAATTCCCAGTCCAGGGCCCTGCTCCTTGGGAATTCCGGGAGTTGTGCCCCAAATGCCTCTGAGGGCGACCAGGTTGAGGATGGCTGGACTATGTCCTCTAAGAAATCAAATAAATAATAATGATAAAATTAAGAAAGTACTTTCTTTTTCCACTTCCTTCTCCTCTGCAGGATGCTCCTATCGTGACAGCCACCTGAGGGCTTTGCTTTCGGCCATCATGTCCACTTCCACAAGCAAAAACCCTTCCATGTCCTCAGCCACGTCTGTCAATGACCGGACAACCAGCCCCGTTGTCGCCAGCTCCTCCACCACCTCGTGGGACCTGCACGCGGATGACTTCACCAAGGACCTTTCCTGCTCTCTGTGCCTGGAGCTGTTCCGGGAGCCGGTCATTCTGTGCTGCGGCCACAACTTCTGCAAGCATTGCCTCGAGGCCACCTGGGCGAAAAAGGGGGTCTTCTGCCCAGAGTGCCATGGAAACGTTCCGGACCGGCAGTACATCCCAAACACAGCCCTGGAGAAGATGGCGGATCGGGTCAAGGCCTTCCACGTGGGCTGCCAGCAGCAGAAGTGCATCGAGCACAGCGAGCCCCTGACGCTCTACTGGAAGCCACAAGAGAAGCTTGCTTGCTTCACCTGCCGGGAAAGTCAGATGCCCAAAGACCAGTGCACCCAGTTCCTCCTCATCCCAGACGCCGTGCAGATCTACACGGTAACACGCCCGGCAAAAGTGAAGGGAGCGGGCCGACAAGCACCCGGCCACGCTCGAGGGGGAAATTTAAAATACCTGCTGATCACCTTGATTCTAAAATCAGCGGGAAGACTGGCTGGATCATGTTTTAATGATCAAGGGAGAGTGGCCCCGTGTGCACGTCACAGTAGCCAGTTGTGGGTCAATTCATTCACAAATGGTGCCCCCAGTCAGAATATCCAGCCTCACGCTGGAGGTTACTTCATGGTATGCGAACGCAGACACTGGAGGATGATCATGGGTTAAACAACTCACCGTTGACCTAGAATGAGTTCTTAGCGGAACGAACGGTTGTTCAACCCAGCATTCACCACAGCGCCTGGATTTGCACATTCTGGTGGGTAAATTTTCTGATGTTCTTCCCACAGGAAAAACTGCTCATGATGAGAATTCAGCTCAGATCCATCTTGGTGAAGCTGGAAGTGTTGAAGAATGCCCAGGAAGAGAAGATCGCTAATCACAAAGTGGGTGCCATTAATCCAACCCCAGTTCCTTACTTGAATATTATTCTGTTTTTATGGCCAGGGAGGTTCTCTCTTAGACACTTTTAGTCTGAGCAAAAGAACACACTAGGGTTAATAATTCAAAGAACTTTGAGGAAGCAGTGAAATCAATGCCATCAGCAGCACCCTTTCTGTGTTTTCAGAGTTCTTGTGGCTACATACCTACAAAAGCTATATAGGTATCCATCAATAGTATGTATAACAGATTGGAAAAATTCCTCAGGTTTTTTGGTGTCAGGATGGGTGACACAAAGTAAACTTGCCTAGTCATGCAATCTTACACTGACCCTAAAAGGAGAAAGACATTATAAAACATGGTTAGTCTCTCCAAACAAATGTTGCTGACCTTTCACTATTAAAAGACAAGTGAAAGATGGAGAGTTAAAAAGCATCAAACAAAGTTAGTATCTGTCACTAGGGTGCTCTTTGCTTTATGTAATAAATTGTATTGTTCTAGGAGAACAAACTGCAACTCCAGTACCACATCTCCTTGGAATTCCTAAAAATGCACCAGTTTCTTCACGGCAAGGAGAAATTGTATATCAACCAGCTGAAGGACGAGGGCGAAGTCCTCCTTCAAGAAATGGAAGCAAATCTAAACAAACTCCAAGACCAAACCCAAAGCGCTAAGGATACCCTGGCCTGCATTCAGGTGCGGCTTTACCAGCAGAATTCTTCCAGCTTCCTGAAAGTAAGTTTTCTAGGCTTGGCTGCACAATATTGCTGGGGATATCGGTGCTGGGCTGATCCCAGGGCGCTGTGGACTCTGGAGCCCAGCCACCAAACACTTCTGGTGCTTTATCATACCACCTGACTGAATTTGGTGGAGCAAAGGATAGAATTTGCAGGCTGTGTCTTTAACTCGTAGCTCTGCAGAATCATTGGGCAAAGGCAGTTCTTTGGCCCATCATAAATGTAGCCGATGTGGAGGAGGTGACCAAGTGTTTTCTGTCCTCGTCAACCATCTGTTTGCATTTTCTGGGTTATGAGTATTTTGCAATGGCTCTGAAAGGCACTTACCGGATTTCTGTTCTTTCCCTCTTTTTCTGTGACAGGGAATAAAAGCATTCATGGAACGGTAAGCAAATATTTAAGCAGATCTTTTCAAGCTATTCTAGCACACCTACTTTAAACAGTGAAGACATGAAGCTATCAAATGGGCGCTGGGAGTGGAGAGCAAAAGGAGAACACTTTCTGGCTGGTGTCGGCCTCCTGGGGACTACATGCCTTTTCCCCTCTTCTCAGCCAAAATGTTCCCAGCGTAGCATGAATTCAGTAACATAAGGCAGTCCCTGTCTGCGGGCTGACATATTCGAAAAGAGATGGAGATGGAGAGGAAAAGATTCGTCAGTCTTCCAGCAAGGCTGGTGAATCACCCTCACTTTCTCTGTCATCCCCCTCTGCCCAGCCTGCGGCCGTGGCGGCTGATAGTGACCGTTGAGGGAGTCGTCTCGGATGGTTTTTCAACAGGGCAATGGAGTAGCTCTGCTTCTCCAACTCCTGCAGGTGAATTCCAGACCCATGGCGGCTGGGGGCATGGGATACATGCAGGGAAGGGGCTGGGCCACGGATACCCCGCTCGTTCTTGCTGCTGTGTGGCATCCAGGCATCTCCAACTTCTGGTGAGCCCGCGAACAAGAGCCCTCCAGGGTCTCGCTCGGATCGTCCCAGTTGCAGCCTGTGGCTTCCTTCATGGAGTCAGTCCATCGCATATCTGGTTCCCTGAATGCACTACAGGTTTTGATCTTTGCCGTATGTAAGGCAGGCAGCTTCTCATATGTGAAGGGCAGTAGGGCCTGTCCCATCTGTAGCTGTGAGCCACTGGGAGGAACCTTGGGTCCGCGGTCCCAGGCTGCCCCTTCTGAGGTCCCGATGCCCCGGATTCCCCCAGACGGCCATAGTTCTTCTCTTGGCCACACCCCTTTCTGATCCACCACCAGCCGTTTGGTAGTTCTTTTGCGTTTCGCCTCTACTAATATATTAGAGGCTTTTGTCGGGGGGGGGGGTATTATTTGGCCCGTCCCTTTGCTATCAGTGCCAACTGCTTTGCCCTTGGCTTTTTGATTGTTGTCCCTGAGAGCTTCTCCAAAACTGAATTTGGCCTCGGGCTGAACGTGGTCTCCCACCCCTCCATTAATCCTTAGTTTAACACATACAAGATTGAACAAACTCCACTTCTCCTGCAATGTCCAACCCAGGAACTGGCCCCTCACAAACTTGGGAACCAGCTCTGTGAATGCCTCAGCTAGTATCGTAATGTTTGAAAGTGAAACTTCTGTGTGTGTGGCTTTCAAAAATATAGATTTGTGTGTTCTTTTCTTGACCATGGGCAGTAATTAATTCTTGGAGATGAGCCAGGATTGGTGAGCCAGGCTGCAAGGGCTTGGCGAGTCTATTCAGCCCTGTGGGAAATTATTCATCGCAAATAGACCAATATTGTTCCTTTATGCTTAAAACATTCAGTTAGGCTGGTTTAGAACAATATTTTTCTTATATAAAAAAAATCAACTCCTGAAGGAAGCAGAACTTGGTCTGCAAACTGGGAAGAGCATCTGAAAGTTTTATCATTGCAATGTACATATTGAATTAATGTCTTCCTTAATGTTAACCAGGTAGCATATCTGAACTACTAGAACTATTTTCTAGAACTGTTTTTTCTGGAACCATCATCACTTTCTACTAATGGGAATGGCTTGTGCAGGATGGAGGAGAAAACGGAGAATTCATCTCTGGGCGAACTAGTGACTGGGACACTAAGCCCAGGGGACTTCAAGGGGCCCATTCATTATGCTGTGTGGAAGGAGATGAAGTCCATCCTCAGCCCAGGTAGAGCTGCGTCCCACTCTGGTGGTTGTTTCTGTCGGCAGTATTTCTCTGTCGCTTCTTTTCTGAGCAAATCCTGAAACCGTTTGCATGTATTTATATTTATGCTCCTCACCCTCACAAACAATAGTATTCTGGGTTGCTCCAAGCATAGTTCGTGGCTGGGGGGAAGCCAAAGTAAACAGATGCCATTTCGGGAAGTGGAGACCATTCCGCAGGGTGGAGAGCTCTCATCTCATGTCTTTGCCAAACGGAGAACAGTAGGCGGCAGGACAGACAACGAGGCATCCCTTGGAGATCACAGGACCTGGGACACTGGTATAAGAGGAGATGCTCCTTCATTTAACCTGGTTTTGAGCAGTGCATACAAAAATATGCAACATATATTCAATAATATTTTGTATATTGATGCCAGCACCTTCTGGAACAGCTTGAGGGCAGCCGCTTAGAATTCAAACGGTCACTCAACTTTAAGTGAACTTAAGCCGGTTAAAATCATAGACTAGTAGACAGATAACATCAATCTGCTTCCTTAATAAAAAGAGACTGAATTCCTCACCCCCCTGTATCCTTCCTTAAAAGGAGGTTTCAGAAGAAGCATGGGTTTACTCGATCACCCGCCTTCCATATGACTGGAAAGTTTTGTTCACATGGTAGGTGGGACCGAAGGAAACCTGGAGGCCTGCAAATCTAGGAGATCAGAGAGGCAACGATTAACTTCAGGGGCAGTGCGAACGATGAACGTGTGGCCACTTTGCAGGAGAGATTTGAAACCGGAAGGAATCTCTTAGTAAGTGTCACTGGGACCAACAGGCCTTGGTGGCAGCTTATGAGAGAGTCACGACTTTGCTACAGCCGGTCACTGCCATGCTACTTCCAGGAAAAGGCGGACGCATTCCCAGTGGGGCTGCACTGCCTTTCTGTTGGTTCAGAGAAAGTGGATTTTTCTTTCTTGTAGTGGTGGACCAGCCAATCCAAGTTTCCCTCCCATTGTGGAACGTCACGTATGCAGAGTTCTAGACGGCCTCCCTCCCAGGCGATGCATGGAGCCCACCCAGGCCCACTTAGCTTCAGCAGGGCTGAGGATGCATCTGCCTGCAGAGCATGCGCAGGGAACATAGGTGGCCCAAGAGACGGATCTCACAGACCGGTTAACTTTGTCCTGTGGCGTGTTCTTACAACAGGCCTCATTTATTGGGGTTCAATTGCTTTCCAGTGTCTCTTGTGCTACAATAATCACCTTACTTATTCACCAGACATCTCCTGCCTCACGCTGGACCCCAACACGGCCCACCCAAACTTGGTTCTGTCTGAAGGGATGACTTGCGTGAGGCATAACGACAGAAAGCAGGTGCTACCAGACACTCCGGAGAGATTTGACTGCAGCGTTTCCGTCCTGGGGTCTGTAGGGTTCACCTCTGGGAAGCACTACTGGGAAGTGGATGTGCAGAAGAAGACCAAATGGACTCTGGGAGTCGTGAGAGAGAGCATCAACCGTAAAGGGAACTACCCGCTGTCGCCCAAAGAAGGACACTGGCTTATAAAGCTAAGGAACAAGAATGAGTTAAAGGCTGTAGATGTCCATGCCAAGTGTCTGTGTCTGCCCCAAACGCCTGATAGAATTGGGATCTATTTGGATTACGAGGGTGGCCAGGTGTCCTTCTACGATGCTAGCACAATGTCTCACATGTACACTTTCACAGAAACTTTCACGGAGAAGATCTATCCTTATTTTTGTCCATGTTTGAACGACTCTGGAGAAAACAGTGCACCCCTGAGAATTATTGCTTTTAGTATGTGAGGAAAAGGGCCGCCTGCAAGGCCTGGACCTCTGGGCTGTTTGGGCAGCGCACGGGATCCAGTGCTAGGTTCTTGATGGTGTTGACGGGGAGCGGGGGCCAGCTGGAGTCCTTGCCCTTCTCTTGGGATAGTTACTCCTGCCCTTCCTGCAGCACCGCTGCACGGACGGTTACGCCGTTGCGTCCAAAAAGGTGGCAAAATTCCCTTCAGGCCCCTTAAGTGGCATCCCAATTTAGGTTCCTGGGTTTCTTACAACTGATCATTCCTAATTGCAAGGTTGATAAGAGAGGGGTTCCCTTCAGGAGAGCTGCTCATTTGTGAAAACTCATTTGTGAAAGACTTGTTCATTAACTGCAGCAAAAGTAAAAATAACAAAACACATTCACTTTGCAAAGTACGTTTGGAGCCTATATAAAATTGACACTCTGTATATTTATTAGAAAATATTAAGCTTAGGAAAGGCATGACAGAAGTTCAAAGTTTAGCAAGGTGAACTTATTCAGAAAAGAAGCAAAAGTGAGAAAATGGGGAAATGCTAAAAGTATTGGAGTTTCAAAAGTAATAAATTTATTTGAGCAAGTAAGTCATTCCCTAGCAAAGCTGTTTGTCCTTATTTCATTTACTACAATACTCCTTTATACTGGTTTCATTTAATGCAGTCTGTCTGGGTTTCCTACTGGGTTCTTTTAATGTAATAGCTCCTCTTAATTACACGGTGTAACGGTGGACTCTAGAAGGGTCAAAAACAAGTCTTTACAAAGGGAAAGAACCCGTCTGTTGCGTATTCTATCCATTTCACACTCAACAAATATTTATTGTGGGGATCCATATTTCTGTAAATAAACCCTCTGGTTTTGCCACTGCCGCCTGAGGGGATCAGTTTGCCCTTTTGCGGCACTGGGGCCCACATCGAGATCGGGCCACCTGGGAAGCTGAGAGGACCCAGCACCCCGGCTTCCCTTGCATCCTTTTTTCCCCTCCTGGCCAGCAGCATCAGGGTGGCTGAGCCCGGCTGCCATTTTAATTTCCCACAGTTCCCCTGTCTGCTGTGGATGTGAAGCATGGTGGGAACTGAAAAGGGCAGCTGTGGCTGCCTGGCGCTGCTCAGCCCGATCCTGCAGCCTGTCACAATGGGGAAGGCGCTTTGACGCCCCTCCACGCAGCCCTGGAATTGGGCTTATTGCGACAAACCCCCTTTCGATTTAAACCACTGCCAAAATGGCGGGATGGGTGGGCAGGATGGAGAGAGTCCAGGGCCCTCTGGGCAGGGCAGAAGTCACCATGGACTCTTGCATGCAGACCGTGGCTTTTTGTGCACAACTCGCAGCGGAGAACGTGTCTGCTTTCTCTTAATTAATGGACGGAGATCATGGCTCGGGTTCTGCCCCTCTCTGTTCACCGCTGGCGCCTCAGAGGCCGACGGGGGCAGCTCTGCCAGCAGGGAAGGCAGGGCAGAAAAGGCGGGAACGGTGGCCGAGGGGCCCGACCGGCCTCCGGCGGGATGTTCGGCGGCCACAGGGCCTGGTTTTCTCAGAGCGTCGGCCCCGAGCCCCGCCGCCTGTGGGGTAAGGGAGCTGGGCCGCGAGGAGACGCACCCCCCTCCGCATGAGCAGGACGCAGGGCGGCTGCTGAGGGAGACGACCGGCCTCGGGTGGCGGTGGCGCTCCTCTGAGGAGGCCAAGTGTCCGAAGGAGTCTGCGGGGCGACGGGCCGGAGTCCCAGGCCATTCTCTGTTCTCCAGTGCACATCCAGGAGGCACAATCACCACAGGAGGGGTCTCTGAGCATGCACAGAGAGCTTCACTGACCCCGTCTGAGCAGCCCCGGCCCTCCTCAGGCCTCCGCCCTCTGGCCGGCCGGCCGCACTGGGGTCAGGATGGAGCCGGCTCGACCGGGCCCTGGGGCTCCTGGCTGTGGCGGATCCTGGCTCTCCGCAGAGCGGCCTGGAGAAAGGCCACGGGCCAGGCGTGCAGGCGGTGGCCCGTTCCTGGCCCTGCTGCTAGCTGCCGGACTCGGAGGCAGGCTGTGCTGCCCGGAGGTTTGACTCGGCCATCCGGGGGCAGGCGCTTTTCTGCAGGATGCTCCCTGTTCGCTCTTCATCCGCATCGGCGTTCAGTCTCGGCGCACCGTCGTGATCCAAAGAGCGCGCAAGGAGCACATCCTCCTGCTCTTCCGCCACATGCCCCTCGCGGCCACTGTGGCGCAGGGCGCAACTGGCACTCGGGCGGCAGTTTCCCTTGGCTTTGAAATTCACCCCCGCCATGGTTCACGGGAGCGAAATCGCAGGCTCGTGTTGTTGTCCGAAGAACCTCTAAACGACCTGCGCAGGGAACGAGCCGTGCGCAGTAAGCGCCTCCCGCGGAAAAGGGCCGCAGCCCCGGCAGCAGCTCCAGGCCCCCCCGGGCACCTTGCAAAGGCCGCAGGGTCCGAGGCTTCATTGATTGATTAATCAATCACATGCCAATCGGAAAAGGAGGGGATGCGGTTCATCTGAAGGGAAAACCTTCCAGAAGCTTCTTCCCAGTGTTGTGCTGGTCATGGGTTGGGGGGGTACTCGTTATTAGATAATGATCAACATTTGAATAACAAAAAGGCTCGCTTACAGCCTGCAGCTATATTAGTCTAGAGCAGAAAAAACAGCACTAAGAACTGTAAACATTCCAAAGGAAATGAAATGCAGAAAGTGACCATCACGTCACCTGGTGGTCATTCAGCATCTTGGGGTACTTTAAACACTAACACAGTATTGTGGCATAATTTGTCTCAGTTTAGGGCCATGGTATGGTCAGGATGTTTCATAGGAAAAAATGTGTACAGTTGGAACTCTAAGGTCCCAACATTGCAAGGAAAATATTATATTTTATAAATATTTTAAGATCAGGAATGATCGAAGGAACCCTGCTCTCTCCTTGTGGCATTTCTCTGCAGTTACTGAAGGAGGAGTAATCACAAACCAGGATGGTGCGGATTATCTGTTTAGCAGCGATGCTTCCCACCCTGATACAAAAAGGTACATTCTGTTAGAGACTATTAGAATTGCACAGAGCCTGCCCATCCCATTCTCTGCTTCTAGGCTTCGTTTCTGATGAGCAACTGTATCTTCTGCTCCCAAAGCTTTTCCCCACTCTCCGTGAATCGCAGGCCTCCAGCAAATATTTAGCAGAGCTTTCCACATGCTCAAAAGCAATCTTATGGCTCTTTAGAGTTCTTGGTGATACAATTTTAGGAATTTTCTTGCTGTATTTCCAATTTTCTTGCTGTATTTCCTTTAGCAGCGTAAGTCGTAGAAATTGAGTGAAGCTTTTAATAGTCTGAAAATAAATACCATGACCTACTAATGCCTAGAACTGTTGTTGAAGGTCTAGCTACACAGATGAGTTGCAAAGCTGGCAATCCAGGTAATTCAGCTGCTTTTGCTTTTTCTTACTGTGTGCAACTTATGCTCCCCAGAGAACCTGGAGCAACAGCTTTCTGATCCCTCCGCTACTGGGGCAGATTGCAAGAACAGAAAGCCCAGTGAATACAGTCCCTATAAAAATTTTGGAAATTTTGAAAGCAGCAAATTGTGGAGGAAACAATTTCTTTTATAAAACTTTAATTAACCATAGATAATATAACGGAAGTACTTTAAATCCTTTGCTGTTCTGGATCAACCAAAACACCAAAAAGGTGACTTGAAGTCCAAAGTTTAACAAAATGAATGTTTAACACAAATCAAGGCAACAAGTTTTGCAGATGTGTCCCATTTACTTTAATAACGTTTTAATGCTTTATTAACTTTTCTCCTCTAGGATACACCAGAGCATAGATTATCTAGAAGACAGAATGGCAGTTTTTCATGCTTATTATCTTACTGCAAGTGCCAACTCAGAAATAAAAAACACAGTACCAATTGGACACTTTCTCCTTCCGCCAGCCTGCTTGCAACGAGGTGTGTATATACATTTATAGAGCCAAGATGCGATTGTAAGAATGGCACCCTATCCCTTGAAGGTGTCACACAGTGGCAGGCATCTACCAAGGATGCTCCTAGAAGCAGCACGACTATTCAGTAGGTTAAAAGGCCACAATTCTGCAGCAAATACTTAATGGCTGATGGCTTTTACTGACAAACATCAGCTGACAAACCTTTACTGACAAACCTTTACTGTGTCACTTTTTTGTCTTTAAATGCGCGCTCTCTCTCTCTCTCTGCATTCACTATAGAAATTAGAGAAAAAATTGGAAGTTTTGTCTGGGAACAGATACCCGAGCCTCTGAAACTGCAGGTAAGAAGGAAAAGAAAGTGCATGACTTGAATTTTCCAATTTTACAAAATTTTGTTCTATTAATTTTGTTATTGAGGATTTTTAACATATGATTTTAATATTAAAAATTAATACGGTGATCATAGGCTAAACATAGCCTGCAAAAGTTAAGTAGAATAATAAACATGACCAATGTATTTAGGACACATATTGTATGAAATTATAAAATTTTCAGACTGAAATAATTTTCTCTTATTAACTTACCAGAACCTTATTCCATTCTGAAACTTGGCCCTGGGATGTAAAATAGATATACCAGAATAATGGGTACCATATTGTACAAAATATGTTAGATTTTGCAACCTTCATTTGGTGGTTAAGCTTGTTCATCAAGTAATCTCAATGCTCTATCTACTGACTTTTTTCTAGTGTAAATACTGTTTCTGTTGCTGAGTATAAAATAAAGCCTTTATACAGTACAGTACAGACTGAAATTCCTTCAGGAAAAATACCTGGAATTGCAAGCATGGGTGTCTTGGTGGTGGGGTTTTGTCTCTTGCTTGAAGATTTTTGGATCAATGTCTCTGCAGGACATCTCTGCTTTCTCTTCCTGTCTTTATGCCTTTTCCTTCATGTTTATCCCTTCCTGCTTACCTAAGAAATTTATGAACTTAGTATGTTGGTCCTGACAAGAAGGATGGCCATTTGTTATAGTTGGGTTACGAATAATCTCTAGACTGATGTTAAGATATACATTACTTAATGAAACATTCCTATAGATGAACTGGGCATGGTTCCAACCACAATCCTTTTGACTATCCACAGCCCAGGCAGCCTGTTGAACGAAAGCGCAGCAGGGAGGGAGAAGACCGAAAGGGCGCAAGAGGCTCGGAAAGAAGGTGTGTCTTTTGTATGGCTGGAGAAATAGAGGAAGATGCGATGGCTAAATGTTCTGATGGCTGCAAGAACACGCTTTGGGCAGCTGGGTGAACTGGCCAGTCAGTTAACTTTTCAGAGTAAATGCCAGCTATAATCTCTTGCTTTGTCAACGGTCAATTTATTAAAAATGGCAGGATAATAGATTGGATCCAGATTTAATCAGTATGGTTAGCGTTTTGGCCTGGGCATCTGGGAGATCGGGGTCCTCGTCCCACTGAGCCATGGAGCTGCTTGGGTGACTCTGATGAAGTGCATCACCAAAAGTCAGGGGATGAGAAGACAAGCATATGCATGCTGTTTGCATATACTGATTTATTAGAGAGAAGTAAATGCAGAAATAGTGATCATTTAAATAGAAATAGAAATTGTACCTTAGTGTGGAAGACTTTGACCAGGTGACCAGTGTACCTGCTGTCTGAAGCATAACCCATCATGACTAGTTACCTGTGACTAACAGCACTTTGCAAACCCCGGTCAATGACTTCTAAAGGATTAAACCTGTAGAGTAAATCCAACCCCAAACCGCTTCATGAATGCAAATATATTAAGCAGTATTACACCTCTAGCAATTAGCTGATTTAGACAAATGCTTATTAAAGAGATGTAGTCCAATACAGTCAAAACAAGATTTTTTTCTTGAATAAGATGTAACCTGAGATCTACTGATGCTTCAGATATACATGAATATATAAATATTTTATGCAGATAATGCAAAGCAGAAGATGCATTCAAATATAGATTAATTCAGGTTTTAAATGTAGCTGAATTAATCAAGATATATTATGGATGTTCATCAAGTGGAAGACTTTTCTGTGGAATCTCTTTTCCTTGGGGTGAAGGCAGAAAAATGGCTGCTCATATTATATATTGAAAATTTCTTTCCAAATACTACTGTAATTATCCTTCATGGCAATACACAGATCTTTGTTTCTTAGATAGCAAATAGATGGAAAGGAAAAATAAAAGCTAAAACTTTTTTAAAAGGTAGTGTTGTATTAATAGTAACGCAAAATAAAAGGAAATGCTTTTGTTAATGATAAGCAATAGCAGTTTACTTTCTGTAATTACAGAGAAATCAGTCAAGCCCCGGGGACACTAGAAATTGGGAAACTTGCATACATTCCACTTCAAAATTATCCAGCAAGTAACATGGTGACAGGTGAGAAGAGGGTGCAGACTTAAAAACTGTAAGGACTGAATAATAGACATGGCTTGGAAACCTGGTCACTGGATGATCCAGTGTCTTTTTCTTTCTCCACGGGCTTGTGGGTTTAGGTTGGGGCTGCAGTGCTTGTTGGATCAGAGTCAAGGTAGGGGTCATGGCAGGGGCTAGAGAGATCTGCTGGACTATTGGTTAAGCAGATTATAATTCAATTATAAATAAATAAATAAGGGCTGCATTTTGGGAAAGAAATGAGCATCAAGAGATCTGATTATGGATAATTTGCATCATTTGCAATGGCCCTTAATGAAAGGCATTCTGTCTAATATATTATTCATCTCTTTCTTATGGAAACATTTATATACTACCTTTCATCATTTTAGATTTCAGGCAGAACTAGACTATTCCTGTTCAGACGTGGGTGCAGTTGGTTCAATTTGTGTTTATGACTCTCTCACCAGCTCTGTCTAGTAGGCTGACATAAAAAGTAATTGAGTTAAATTGTTGGATTTGCCATCCCCAACTAGTTTGTGCTTGGAAATTGCATCGTGTTTGCAGTTTTAAAAAGCTGGTCCCTGTTTCCCCTTGTGAATCAGCACAGGCAATTGTTATATTATGCCCCTCTCTAATTCTGTTCCTTTCCCTTGCTTATGGCACCAGAGGAAGGCTAAATGATATGAGTCACTGGAGGTTTGTGATTGGATTCCTGGCTCTTTCAATTGTTTTGAAAAGCAGCCACAGGGTGAGGCAAATTGGATCAGAGCATGGTACTCACCAAGTGCTGGAGCAATTGCTTTGCCAGGAGCAATTTCCTCCATTGAAGTCAGCTTTCCCCAATTTGCAAGGGAGGAGCCCACTACTGGTAAACCTTGGATTCATTTGAATCCTGAATCCCACACTGGGCCAGGCTGGCTAGGACAGGTTCTTGAGATGTCCAGACTGAAGTGGGCCTCCTCCAAAGAAGGCTGAACCTGAAATTTGTGAACTGTATACCTCTTCGTTGTTGCTTCACAGGTTATCCATCTGCTAAAGAGATGAAGAAATTTGTTGGGAAGATACAGGATTTTATCCCTGGCTGTTCTGGTTGTTTGGCATATTGGATTTCAAATGAAAAAAATATTTTCTCTGATAGAAAAACAAAACTGAAGTGAAAGTTAAAAACAAATGGCTTCTTATTTCTGAACATTTTTTGTGATCACTGTTGCTTACTTTGCCAGAAGAGTTCTTCTGTGCATGTTGATCCTGGAAGGAGTATTAAGTGTACCTTCGAGAGTTGTGCCATAGAATTTTAAATTTAGGGAAAGTTGTACTTCTGTGAAAAAATTATACTTTCAGAACTACCAAAAACTGTTGCAGCATTTGTCCTGTTACATGAATTTGGAGTTTGGAATAGTCTACCCTGGTGCACCCGCCTAACCCGAATATAGGGGTCAAGTTCCACTGAAAAGAGTGTGATTTTAAAAAAGCCTTCCTTGAGTAGCTTTTTCTGCACAGCTCATCCTTTCTGCCCCTTCTAAACACACTCCAACCATCAGAATCATGCCAGGACACTTGGTTTTCCCAACCCTAACCCTACCCTGGTGCACTCCCCTA